CAGCCAATGAATTATTCTGTAAGGAACACAGCTTTTAACAACCTCCCTGTCTTCTCATAGAAGCCTGACATGACACATACACAATAAGCTAGTGAGCACCACTACAAGGCACCTTAGATACAGAATGAAATCATATATGACACCCAGGTTTCTTGGAAGAGACAGAACTGGAAGTGGACCAAGCAGAGAAAGGAGATTTATTACACGGCTTGGGACACACAGTGGGAAGAGGCACAGTGAGCACTCAGCTCATCTTCAGTCATCTTTGGAGAACAGACATGAGCTATAGGTTTAAATAGAAAACAACAGGGGTGCAAGAGACAAAAGGTGTGCATAAACAGTTCCAGTCGCAGGTGTGGTCTGGTTCGTCATTATCTCAGTCCTTGTTCTGGCATTGTTATCTAGAGGGTGGTCATTCCTGAGAGGTCTCTACTTTTGGAGGTCATTTCTGTCCCTTGTCATGAAGATGTTATCAGTTCTGTCTTCCCTGGAATCGACATGATTACAAAGTTACTGCAGAGAGAATGGCTTAGAGCAAAGACAGATACAAAATGAAAGAGAGATGCCATGCTTTTCTCCTGCTTTCAGTTAATTCGTGGACCTGAGTAAGGAGTCAGTGCTTTTCAGCAAAAGCTGTTTGAGTGCCTCTTACAATTCCCCCCCTTATGTTTGAAAATTCCTCAATCCTGGCTGGTGGCAAATTAGTACAAAAGGGAACAGATGGCTGACAAGAAAGTCAAAAGTACTTGTTTATGTCTAAAACTATAAACCATTTTGAGCTGAATACAGAAGAAGTAAAAGTCAGAAGACATCCAGTTAAATAAATTGTATAGGGAACCCTTTTTAAAATAACTCCATGAGCACAGACTACTAAAATTATGTTTTTAGTTAGGCAGAGCGGGGCTAGATTGAGGAGAGCTCTATTTAGAGAAGACATTTTGGTTGTAAGTCTAGAAACCAACTTAAGCAGACTAAGACACTGATTTAAAACCCAGATTCTGAGGTCAGATGGCCTTGGCATGAATCCTGATTATTTAACCCAGTGCTAGCTATATAACTGTGAGCAAGTTACTTAATTTTCCTGTCCCACAGTTTCTTGATATGGAAAATGAAGTAATGTATGGAATTATTAGGAGCATTACATAAAATAATTTACATGAATTGATTGGAACTCTATCTGCTTAGGAAGTTTTATTATTTTTGTGGACAATGATGTTGATGAAACCAAGGGGATTTTATTTTAAGGACATATGGGTGCCTTTTGGAATTTAAGGTCAAGACTACCTCTAGGTTTCAGTATGGGAGCAGGGAAACAGAAAGCTGCCAGGGACTCAAGTACCATTGTTTTCTGTTTCTCTCAGGAGACCTGCGACATGTTTCTCTTTCCTGACAGACCAGTCTTCTCTGTTTCTCCATTTCTCATGAGGAAATATAACTGCTGTCAGCTTTCAAATTCACATGTAACATTCCAACTACCAGAAGAAAAGGACAAATCACCTCTTACTCATAATTTTAAACTTGCAAGAGTGACATCTATCTGGTCCATCTTGGTCCAGCTGTGGCCAAGGACAGGGCAATACAGTATGATGGGAGCTGTACATCCCAGATGAAGGTCAATGCTCAGAGAAAGAATGACCTGTGAGCGCAAAAGACACCTCAAAATGTCTAGGTGTCTTCTAAAGCACTCTGGCCTTCTGACTTGAGGATTAGGAGTTTTAGGCAATGGTATTCCTCCAAAACTTCCAAATGAGGATGTCTGGCAAACCACCACCACTGGCATCATGGGTTTTAATGAGAATATGAGTATATTCTATACCCCAGATTTTACTGACGGTAATGCTAGGGAAAATTCATCCTAAATTTGTCTCCTGGCATAGATCCTTATAGTTAAAAATAAAGACAAATAACACATATGTAGCAGAATAACATTTTCATATATTAACCAATATTTCTTTTCTAAGAACTATTTGCTACCCATGACTCTACCTTCTGTCTGCTCCTCTGCCTTCCAACTCCAATCTCTCTTCTCCCTTTGCTGAAGCAGCAGCTGGCCCTGCTCTTCAGAAATGAGCACACATATCCTCCTTGCTGTTAACCACTCTACTGTCCCGTGTGCTCCAGATGTTGGGGAGGGTGCTCCCAAAACACTGCTGGGGATGGGCTCCTTTCCACCTGTTACCATCTGGGTGCCTATGGGGCCAAACTCCCATCAGCCTCTGGTGTAAAAAGGGATCAGAAGCCTTAATATTAGTTGCCTGAAAATCATATGGTGCTTGACACCAGAATGCCCCCTGGGGTCTGAATATTTTCTGTCAAACATCTTTCAAGCCTTTTCTCATCCTTTTCAACCCTTCCTTAGCCACTGAAGCTTCATCTGGGTTCACAGTCAGTGGCACTACATGAGTTTGGCTAGAATGCCCATTAGTAGTAAGGTGGCTCACATGACTATAGGGCTGGCGGCCTGGGCATGTGACCTGTATAGTCAGTCACATAAGGCCTACACTTAGAAGGGCCGTGCTCTGTGTCCTACTCTGCTGTTATCATCATGAAATTCTTAATAATTTTTTAAACGAAGGGCCCATATTTTCATTCTGCACAGAATTCTACAAATTATGAAGCCAGCCATAGGGGGCATACTGGGAGCCTTTGGGAGTGACTTCCTTAGGCAGGGTTTGAGTGTCCTGTTCTTGAACTGGTTAGAGTACTGGTGAGTCACCTGTTCTGGGGACAGATAGCTGTTATTTTGGTGTCCTTTACTTCTTAGTCCTGTGATCTTGAACATTCCTCGGCCTCTGTTTCTCTATCTGTAATGGGGTACATGTATCTCAGAGGCTTGCTGAGAGGATGTAATACGTTATTAATGTCATGCGCTCAGAACAGTCCCTGAAGCACAGAAAAAAGCTGTGCAAAGTGAGCCAATCTTGTGTGGCTGTTCTAGGGTGAAGGTGCTTTCATCTTTCAACCCTATGTTTTGACTTGGTGGTGAATCTGACTTTTGACTTGCTTTTGTTCTGGAATAGTCTCTACCCATAAAGATCTCAGTGGAGCTCTGTGAGCAGTGTGGGGGTAGGGGAGGGTCCAAGCCCTGCATTTGCCCTGCCACCAAGCAGGGTATTATCAGTCTTCCTTTTTCCTAACACCGCAGACATCCCACCTACTTAACTCCTGGTTTCCCAGAGTGAAGACCAAGTGCCTGAACACGATGATTTTAAGTAGCACATAGACCCACCTTTAAGGAACACTAAATCTCATTCTGTGAAAGCTTTGTATATTTTCCTTTCTTTCAGTCCAGTGATTACATATAGAAGAAAGTTTCTACTCAGTGTTGCTGAGTTTTTAAGACCTCTCTTATGTTTGCTAGCTTTCCTTTTTAATTAGAAAAAATAGGTCTGGGGCACAGAGCCTTCAGCAGGCCATAGCATCTAGTTAGAATTCCAAACATTATTATATTGTCATTGTATCTATTTCTAGGATTAATTTATGTAAGGGAAACTGGCTTTCCATTTAAGGTAATGATCTAATGTTTCTGATAGGGAACACCATGTGAGTGGGTTTAATGGTGCTTTAAAATAAAAGGATATTTGTGAAAAAGCACAGGGTTGTGCCTGAAAGCAAAACAGAAAGTACAGTGAAAAGCGGGTCAGGCCAGTGTAGCTCCAATTAGCATCAGGTGGTATAATTTTGATCACAGAAGCATAATATGACTTATCCACCCCTGGACACACCAAGCAGCAGGGAGCGCTAAGGAAGAAGAATGTGCTAAGCAATGTCTCCCAAGAGCCTGAGTCACAGCAACAGGAAGAGGAAGCACAGCGTGATGAAGGTCAGAGCAAGGCTGTCTCTGGGGAGTCTTCACGGGGAGCTGGGTGGAGTCAAGACAGGTGTCAAAAGGAAAGGGGAGGTTTTGATTTTGAAAAAAGGAAATAGGAAATCTATTCCCCAATCTATGCATTGGGGAACACGTGGATTCTTCAGATGCATCATTCTGCTGGCTGTGACAGGGCAGAAAATGCGCATAAAGGTGAGCATTCATGTCCTCACCTGTCCTGCAGTTAGCATTTTCACAGCCCAGAAAGGCTGAAGCTCTGGCTCCTGTGTCTTGGGTGACTTGGCCAAGATGGAGCAGTTACAGCCTGTGGCTTACATTCTTCCTGCCTTTGTCACCGAGAGTGAACCAAATCAGCAGTTTCCTTTAAAGCACATTTGTTTTAAGTTGAAAAAACAAAAGTTAGTTTCAAAAAAGAAGGATCCAAGAGGGAAGGTGGCGAAGGTCTATGTCATATCTCTGTTCCCTAAAACATTCGCCACCCGTGCCCCCATTCTCTACCCTTGTCTGTCCTGCTGTATGCCCTGGGCCTGTTTGGACAACGCGCCTCTTCTCCTCTGGCTTCTGGATGGTGGTTACTCAGTGGAGAGCAGGAGACGGAGGGAGGAAGAAGAACGAGGTTGGAGAATGTGTGTCCCTGGATCCCTCCCTGCCATGCCCCTGACTATAGGTCAGCAGCTCCCCTCCACCTCCATGAGTGGGTGCTCCCTCCTCTTGTATCTTCAGGCCCAGGGTAGGAGCAGCCTCCATGATCTCTATCCCTAGGGAACCATACTATTCCTTGTGATTTCCCCACAAAGGATTATTATAAATAGTCTTTTTTATATTAAATTCTCCTCACATTACCCCACTTGAACTCCTCATCTGTTTTTGTTTTGTTTCATTTTGTTTTGTTTGTTTGTTTGCTAAACTGTGGTTGATGCAAGGTTATTTACAAAAATCAAAGTTTGGGAAATACTGACCCAAAGGAAAACAACCTGTATTCCCTAAAGATCTCTCTGATTCTCCAAACCTCCAGACACCCAGGGTCAATGATGGCACCATCTTCCTCCTTGCCCTTTGTCTCCTCTCTTTTCCAGGTTCTTGTTTCAGAATTCAGTATCTACTGCTTTCTCCAATTCCACAGCCTGTACGTCATTGTTTCTATGTAACAAAGTTCTACCCTAATAAAACAATGAAATGAGTCAGATATTCCATGATGCTTTATTAAAACGTTTTCTCTGTTTCCACTGAATCTTAAGTACATATGGATGCCCAAGGATATGAGGCAATCCCAGTTCCGTAGGAATAGGGAAGCTGAAATGGTATTATGAAAAGATTCTCAGATTAGCCATGGAGGGTCAAGTTCTGTAAAATGAGTCATCTTTTCCCTCCATGGAAACTAATTATGGGGAAAATAATCAAGAATTGGGCCTTCCTTCTTAGCAGTTACAGTCTAGCATGAGCTACACACACACACACACACACACACACACACACACACAGCCCTCACCACATTTCCTTCAAAACAATCCAAGGAGATGTGTCCTGCCCAGGATTATGCTATAGACAGGCTATATCCAGGTCATGAAAAACCGGCACACTTGCTTGTAAGGTCACTGGCTCAGGAAAGCAGACGGTCTCTTTACTGTAAGACAGGAGCAACAAGAGGCAAGTTCTTGGTTGGTCAGGGGAGAGGGCTAGGAATTGTGTGGGTCTTGTGTTCCCATGACCAGTAAGAGGAGTCTATAATCATCTGCAGTAGAGCCTGTTCCTAGGATTGGCAATGGAGCTCAGTGGTAAAGTGCTTGCCTGACATGCACAAGGCCCTGGGTTTGATTTCCAGCAACACATGCATGCATGCACACATGCACGCAAAAACACACCTCAATGTCCTCCAAGTGCCCAGGACTAATTAGGCAAATCATACTAATGGCAAGGGGATATGGATTCCAGATCCATACTGATGCATGTGACCAGTGACACATTTGAAGTAGAGGCTAAGGAGGAGGAAATATGTAATGAAAAAATGTTGTTCCAACAAAATCTTACCTAGAAACCAAGCACATAAAGCACAGAGAAGAGAGTTTCCTATGCTGAAGTGGGGATGGGGAGCCCATCCTTCTTGTTTCCCTTCCTAACACCTCCAACCCAAGATGGCCCTACAGAAGGTTCAGCAAAGCCCTGGTCCTTTGTTATTTCTACGTCTATGATGGCACCACACCTAAGGTCATGACTGGTGCCTCGGGGGTGGAGGGGTGGTGTCTGGGGTGGAGTGGGTCTAGGGCTCACCTGTCATTAACAGGCAGGGGGGCAGTGCAGAATGTCCCAACAATGGTAGTCCTATCTTTCCTCCAAACCCGGCTGGGAACCTGGAACTTGAACTTCACTTGGTTTATCTGGCACCGTGGGTTGGGGTGGGCTATGATTCCTTTGCCCTGGAGTTGTTGCTTAGGTCTGAAAAGAAAGGGAAAAGGAAAGGGAATGAGTTGCTGTGACACTTTCTGCTTTCTTCTCTTTGCTCTAGCCAGGCTCTGTTGACAGCCCTGGGTAGCTGTCATACTCTGTGAAGGTGGGAATATGGTCCTTTGTATTACCCTCATGGGTCCCTCTGCCTACCCACACAGTTTTGAACATGACCCAAGAAATACTTGTTGACTTTTGAGAGTAAACAATTCGACAATAGCAAAATAGTAACTCTTAGAATTTCCCCTCTGGAACACTGCCTCACTCTTGACTTCCTAGATGGAGAACCTCATGTTCACATCCAATTATCTGGAAATGGAAGTCATCTCGTAGGACCTCCCCATGCAGAGGACCACTCTGAGTGCGTTAGGCTGGATATGAATGTGTGGATGGAAAAAAAAAAAAAAAACTTGACAATAACAACAACAAAACATATCGAAGCCAGACAAAGTTGAGATGGCATCCAGGTTTTGCCTCTTTCCGGTTGTGTGGCTTTGAGCAAGTTACCCAATCCAGCAAGGTGGCTGTGGAGTCACACAGCCCTAGGTACAAATCCCAGCTTCCCCATGTGCTGCTATGAGCTGGCACCACAAGGTTTTGGTACATATTGACTTCAGCCAGGGACCTTGGAGTGAAACAGAATCCAGGTCTCTAACCCACCCTTTTGGCCTTGCCCTCAGGGGGCCCCCATTAGTGTACAAGATTCAGATACCATTGAGACAAAGATGAGGAAGGAGCAGGAAGTGACCAGCCTTGTGGGGTGCTACACAAAGGGCTGCAGAGCCATAGACAAGTCAGAATGGTGAGATCCAAGGGTACAGAAAAGGCCTGCTGTGAGAGTTCCCAAGCTGGGTCTGGGGCTCAGCCCTGCCAGCAAAGATAAGACAGTGTACATGGGGGAAGCCAAGCAGAAGCCCAGCAGAGCTGCTCAGTGCAGGAGCAGAGGAACTGGTCCTGGGCCCTGGCCTGGTCAGTAAAAACGTCTCCCCTCCACCCCAAGCTCTGAGGCAGCAGGAACTCCGAGAAAAGGGGAGAGGACATTGTGCTGTCACCCCCAACACACATCAGCGGGATAGGTCCTGCTGAAAAGTTTCCCTTTTCTTTACAGGGTGATGACATGTTTTCTTGATGTGTTTTGTTTTTTCGTTTTGTTTGTTTGAGTGTACTGGGGATAGAACCCAGGGCCTCGTACATGCTAGGAAAGCGTTCTACCACATAAACTATGCTTTTTAATCTGGGGTTAGGTGTGTAATGTGATTTTTCCTTTTGTGGAAAAATCCTGTATAACCCTATAAAAGTTGTTTGTTTCCCCCCCCAGTAGTGTTTTGTTTATTTGTTTGTTTGTTGTTTTGTTTTGGCAGTACTGGGGTTAGAACTCAGGGGCCCACCCTTGCTAGGCAGGCATTTTACCACTTGAGTCACAAGCACCAGCCCCAGCAGTGTTTTGAAACATGGTCTCTTTAAGAAACTGCCTAGCTCAAGGAGTTTATAAAATATAAGCACTATGAAAGATGCTTTGTGCGAGTGGTTTGAAGACCACGTAAATTCTCCAATTAGAAGGAAAACTTGGGGTTACACAAAGCTATACATAGTAGGGGAAAGAGCACCCACCCCTCAATTTCTGATCATCAAGATCCAAAGATGAAGGAACTGAAGGCAGAAACTCTCTCCAAGCTGGGGAGTCTTGTGAGCCTCTTGTGGAGAGGAAAGCAATAATCTGAGGGCAGCTGTAAAAGAATCTCCAGGGAGCTTCAGCTGTCCACCTATGCCCAGAGATTCCTTTGTGCTTGGTCTGGGATAGGGCGTGGCATCAGCATTTGTTTTTTAAAGTTTTCCAGGTGATTTAAACATGCAACCAGGGCTGTGTGTCACTGTCATGACAACCACCAATGTGGACTGATCCATCAATGGGCTGAAAAGATGATGAAAACACCATACTAGGTCAGGTACAGTGGTTTACAACTGTAATCCCAGCTACTCAGGAGTCAGAGATCAGTAGGATCTTGGTTTGAGGCCAGCCCAGGCCAAAAAAAAAAAAAAAGTGAGGCCTCATATCAAGAAATAAGCCATTCATAATGATGTATGCCTGTGATCACAGCTATGCAGGAGGATTTTGCTAGGATGCCCCAGCAAAATCATGAGATCCTATCTGAAAAACAATTAAGGCAAAAAAGTCCTGAGGATATGGTTCCAGTGGCAGAGCACTTGCCAGGCAAGCACAAGGTTCTGAGTTCAAACTCTAGTACTGCTGTACCTGATAGCATGACCTCGGATGAGCCTGAAGAAATACTGGCTAGTGGTGGAGTGTTTGGGAGCCCAGAGGAAGTGCATTCTTCCCAGGGGAAACTTGTCTTCCCCTAGCACAATTCATGTCAACATGACAGCCTGGGAAAGGTTTCCAAACCCACAGCTGATCTGGTCTCTCTCCTGCTCAAAATTCCCAGGGCTCCTCAACCTGCTCCCAGCACAGAAACCCCAGTCCCTAACTTGTCCTTCAAGGCCTCTCCTACTTCTTGTCACCTCACACTGGGCACCTGGACTCCCAACTCTAGGCACAGTCACAGTGCCTCATATTCTCATGGAGTCATGATTTGGGTCTTAAAAATCCTTCACTTGTCTCTCACCTCCTCAGACTCACTCAGATCTGTCTTAGGGCTCCCCTAGCATTTGTCACCATGGGTAAGTTATGTTTCAATGTGTCTGTAATGCTCATTTCCCTATTTGCAAGTGACTCATTGCCCTGCAAACCACATTTCTCAGGCTCTTTTGTCAGATGGGCTACTGCCAGAGGCAGGACTTCTAGAAGGGCTGCATTTCCCATGGGACTCCAGCCCCTGCTGAGCAGCTCCCCCCTCCCCCATGACCCAGCTCCCATGGGTCTCTCCAGGGCTCAACCAACACCACCCCTTGCTTTGTTCCTCTGGCTCTAGGGTGGTAGTGGCCTTAATCTCTGCATTGTCTCTCTGGCTCCCACCTCTCTGGCTTCCCAGCTCTACCAAAGCAGTTGTAATTTTTCCTGTACAAAATTCCCTCTATAGGACTACTGGAATGTCATTCAACCAAGACAGTGACATTATTGATCTGTTTCTTATGAGCTTGTGAGTAGCTTGACCAAATGCTTTTTAAAGAAATGCATACTATCACTCCTGACTTCTTTTCCCCTGGCATACTTGGGCTCTCTACAGTTGAGGTCTTTGCCTCTCATTTCAAGCCTGGTCCCAACAACCCCCAGGCCCAAGTCTGCCCCAACAAGGGAAGGAAATGACCAGGCATCATTACTACCATTGCCAAGCCCTCCGGGCCACTAATCTGATCCTTACCTTGCATGTACTTCCTAACTGACCTCTGCCTTGGACTCTGTTCTGGCCACCTACCTAATACTACTTCTTCTTCCCAGGAGTGATGCTCCCCAGGCTCTGGCCGGCCCTCCCTGGACTGGTGACTGAGGCCCTCCTACCTGCCGATATCCCTGAACACCCCTGCCTGGATTCCTGAGCACTGTTTCCTATCAAGGACCTGAGTCCTATGTCCTGATCACCTGTTGGGATGCCCCATTGCTGCTGCTCGTTTGCCTTGTCTGCTATCTGTTAGGGTGAACATAGGGCGGCCATGTTAGGACTGGACTCCTTCCCCTTCACGAGTGGCTTACTGGAAACTCTCCACCAGGCCCTGAAGAATAAGAAACATTCACCTTTAGCCCTTTACCAGCAACTCCTCCCTCGGCCTCCAAGAATGACCTGCCCTTATTCCATTATCTTGGGAGGGTTATTGAGCCGATTGAGGATTTGCCTGCTCAGTACCTTCCTGAGACTTCTCCCACTAACCTCCTATAACCACCCCAGTTTGTAGGCGACAGTGGGCTCTAGCTCTCTTTCTGGAGGGGGGTCCCCTGCGCAGGTTTCTTCTTCCCTGTAGAAGTCTGGGCTGACATATCGAGCCGTCTCTTCACCCATCTCTCCATGCATTTTCAGTCTGCCATGCCTTTTTTCAGTCTAACATTGTCATCTGAATACACTATGCTTGGAGCTGGTACATATCCCGAACCTGGGACCTTTCCCCAGATGTGTCTGTGGGTGGGTCTCTGGTAGCTGCTGGTCAGCTGGGCCCCGTCATTAGCAATCCCCCACTGCCTGACCTGACCTGGAATAGTTGAGCGTGTGCATATGTGAAAAGAAAAGGCAACTCCTAAGGAGAGGGGTCGGCCGTGTGGGGCACTTACGTACATGGTGATCTTGATCGAGGAGGTGACATTGCTGCTAAGAAAGGTGACCTCAATGCTAGTGTCCTTTTTTCTTGACTCTTGCAAGTAAAACTCCACAAGGCTGTGATGCACTAGGAAACCAAACAAAGCAAAGCTGGGCCAGAGGGCAGAGGTGCATTGAGAGAAAAGCCCCAGAGAGCAGCAGGTACAGCCAGGAAGCTTGGCTCTACCTCCTAGCAGCTGAGTGCCTCAATGGGTTATCTAGCATCTCAGAGCCTCAGTTTCCTCAAGTGTAATCTGGGGATAATACAGGCTGGAGTGAGAGGTGAGTGGGTTAAGACACTTAAAGTCCTTGGAACAGTGCCTATGCCCAGAAAGCACTCAGGAAGTGTGAGTTTTTATCATTACTTATAATGCTAGAATGGGTCATTCCTCCCTGTTTGGTGACTTCTGATGTAATCTTGAGAGAACCACAAAAGATCTATCATATATTGCTGTTGTTTGAATGTTTGGTGGCCCCTCCAAAAGTCATACTTAAACTTTTTTTTTTATTGTTTTATTATTCGTATGTGCATACAATGCTTGGGTCATTTCTCCCCCCTGCCCCCACCCCCTCCCTTACCACCCACTCCGCCCCCTCCCCTCTCCTCCCCACCCCCTCAATACCCAGCAGAAACTATTTTGCCCTTATTTCTAATTTTGTTGTAGAGCGAGTATAAGCCATAATAGGAAGGACCAAGGGTTTTTGCTGGTTGAGATAAGGATAGCTATACAGGGAGTTGACTCACATTAATTTCCTGTGCGTGGGTGTTACCTTCTAGGTTAATTCTTCTTGATCTAACCTTTTCTCTAGTTCCTGGTCCCCTTCTCCTATTGGCCTCAGTTGCTTTTAAGGTATCTGCTTTAGCTTCTCTGCGTTAAGGGCAACAAATGCTAGCTAACTTTTTAGGTGTTTTACCTATCCTCACCCCTCCCTTGTGTGCTCTTGCTTTTATCATGTGCTCAAAGTCCAATCCCCTTGTTGTGTTTGCCCTTGATCTAATGTCTGCATATGAGGGAGAACATACGATTTTTGGTCTTTTGGGCCAGGTTAACCTCACTCAGAATGATGTTCTCCAATTCCATCCATTTACCAGCGAATGATAACATTTCGTTCTTCTTCATGGCTGCATAAAATTCCATTGTGTATAGATACCACATTTTCTTAATCCATTCGTCAGTGGTGGGGCATCTTGGCTGTTTCCATAACTTGGCTATTGTGAATAGTGTCATGCTTAAACTTAATCCCTAAGGCAGCAATACCAAGAGGTGGAATCATTTTAGGAAGTGACTAAGTTTAATGCCTTCATGAGTACATTAGTGACTTATAAAAGGGCTCTGGGGAACTAGCGATAGCCCTTTTTGCCCTTCTGTTTCTACCATGTAAAGACACCATGACATAGCAAGCAACAAGGAGCCAGCTTAGAAGCAAAGAGAACAGCCCTCAGACACCAATGCCAACATCTTGATCTTGAACTTCCCAGACTCTAGAACTTTGAGAAAACTCTGTTCTTTATAAATTATCCAGTCTTTGATATTTTGTTATAGTATCACAAACATATACAAAATATTTGACTCATAAAAGACAGCAGTACCTTTCCTTCCCTCTCCACACACACACTGTCAGGGAACTTGGTTGTGTACATAGAAAAAGACTCTTCCCTGTTGTGTGGCAGCTGGTGGCCTCCATGGCATCTTGACCTCTTTTGGGCAGCACAGATGCTGCAGCTCTCAAAGTGGGTATCATTGACATACACTGAGTGAGCATGGCTCATGGTGACATCTCTGGAGCCTCCTGTCCCTCCAGCAAGAGAGGTAAAGCAAGATTACAGCTTCCCTAACACATTATCTTTTTTTTTTTTTTTAGGCAAGGTCTCAGATGTCCATGCTAGCCTAAAACTCAAGATCTTCCTGTTTCATTCTCCCTAGTGCTAAGATTACAGGCTGCACCACCTTACCTGGCTACATTCTGTCCCTTCTTTCTTAAGTGGTAGGTGCACCTGGTTGCACTTTGGTCTCAAACATTTTCCCAGGCTCCTTTGGTAATGGGGACATAGCTAGAGATGCAATCCTTGTACTCCCTGACCTGTATGTTTTGTGTGTCATTTCATGGGTGACTATTGGGGGTATGCCCAACGGGTGCAGATGGTCTCAGCCCTCAATTAGAGGAATGCTGTGGTCCATCCAGGTTCACTGGACTTAGTAACAGGGTTCATGGACACGTACCAAGAAGGCAAGAACTCATGACAAGAAAGAGCCTTATGTGCTCCCCCTCCATGGAGGAAAATGTCACATGCCACACTTTGAAAACTGATGTCACATCTTCCTTTTCTTGCAGGTCTGATTGTTCATGACATTTTCCTACAGCTCTGCTTCTCTTTTCTCTCCATTGCCCAGGAAACCTCAGGAGAGCTGGGACTGACCTCGGAGGGTGGGAACTGGTCGTGAAATCAAATCTGCACAGGAGTGGGTCTCAGTGGCACTCAGTGTTCTGGATCCAACCATAGCGAGGCCTGCTTACAAACTGGGCTACCTTATCTAAGTCACTGAACCTCTCTGTGCCTTGGTTCCCTCATCTATAAGCAATAACCCCCACTATCACCTTATGAAACACAGTGAGGATTAAATGAGGTAATAAAACTGGGCACAGTGGTCACATCTGTAATCCTAGCTACTTGGGAGGCATAAATAGGAAGACTGCAGTTGGAGGCCTGAGCAAAAACACAAGACCCTATCTGAAAAATAACTAAAGCAAAATGAGCTGGGGGCCTGGTACAAGTAGGAGAATGCCTGTCTAGCAAACATGAGGCCCTGACTTCAAGCCCCAGTGCTGACAAAATAAAGCATAAATAAATAAATTAAATAATGGAGAGAAGGAGCTACATGAAAAGCCATCCTAAAAGGAAAAGTAATATTGTTAAAAAATATAATTTGGTAGATCTTCCATCCATCCTAGTGCATGCCTAACAGAAACCAAGGATGGACACTGTCCTCATGAGCACTGCTGAGGTCACAGCAGGCCAAGAGTGCTGGGCATTGTATCCCAGAATCATTTTGGCCAGGGAATGGCCCTACTGAGTTTGCCCAGGTAGTTGGGCCAGATTTGGCCCTGGGAGCACAAGGGTACCTGCTTCTATCATCAGAATGGAAGGATGGGTACAGGCAGGCCAGTGGGTGTTCACACTGGCTTGTTTCTTTCTGTGGCCCATTTTGGGTACTGAACAGACAGGGCCATGTTTCTGGGGTATGGGGAAGAAGTCTCCCAACAGAGGAACTTGGACTCTATGACTCTCCCTCAGCAGAACCTTCAAGTGATTTTAACTTCCCAGCATTCCCCAGGTCTTCCTGCCCAGTGTATTCTTAGCCACGCAGACATGGAGGAGTCAGTTTAGGTTGCTGCCGACTTGGCTAGGGCTGGAATTAGAAGCCAGGATGCCTGGTCCCCGCAGTACTGCCTCCACCACAGATGGCCAGTGCTGGCAGGAGAGTGACAGAAATACTACCTGCTATAGCACGAGTGCGGAGACAGAAGGTGACAAGCAAAGAGGCCAGAAGACCAGGAGCTGAGTCCTGTCCTTTTTCACCCAGCTGTGTGCCTCAGGCTGTGGCAAGAAGGCAGAAACACCCCCATCTTCTTCTTTTCCCAAATTCACTGACTGACCAAGAGAGGGAAATGACTACTTACTGGGTTCCCATCATGGTGCCAGTGACTTCCTCTATACGATTTTGTTTTAGCCTCATGGTTGAGTCTCTTAAGTAGGGTTTGCTATCATTCTCATTTTCCACATAAGGATATAAAGATTCAGAAAGGTTAAGTAACTTGCTTCAGATTCCACAGCTGTGAAGTGGAGAGACTGAGATTAAACTCCAGGTCTGTGTATGCGACCATGGAGCCCAGTTTCACCAGGCCTTCTATGACAGAAAGATATAGCCACAAAGAGCGCTCTACTAACTCAACACCAGCTGATCAGAAAACCAGCTAAAATTAGGGTAGCCATATAATTTATCATCTAAAGTAGCGTAGTTTTGTCCTGTACACTCCACAAAGCAGACAGAGGGCCCCAAGACAACAAGCCTAACCAGGAAGCATATTCAGCCTAATGCAGATAAAACAGTGTGGGGAGGAGTGATGGCTGAGCTTCTAATGTATTTCGTGGGTTCTAAAATGGACTTGCCTCTCACATTTTACATCTTATGCAATCACTGGTGTCTTAGCCTCAAAGAGATGCAACAGGTAGCAGTGCCCCGTTGGAATGGGTCTGTGAAAGGGAAGCAGACAGAGACGAGGCTCTGCATTCCTCAGGGTCCCCAGTCAGGACTGCCAGGGTGGGAGGTACATAGGGAAGGTACCAAGTGGGGGGAAAGAAGTATGAGGGAGAGGGGGAGCCAGAGGCATTCTCAAATACTGCTCTAGAGAGAACCCTCTCTAAAGGACAAATTTTAGTGGGGGGAGAAATGAGGATCAGTACATAAGTAGTCAGATGCCCCCAAGTCCTTATCTATGGAGCCATCAATTGGAGTCACTCTGACAGTTCTGGTTCTATCTAAGACCTGGTGCTGTTCCCCCACCTCCCAAGATATATTTGCAGCTGCTCCAGTCCTTCACCTCCACACTGAGCTGGTCATAGCCCTAGACCCCTCCAGCCCACACATCAGCAGAGCTGAGCTCCTATGTGTTCCCTTACTCACCACAGTATGGGGCCCTGGAAGAGGTTAGGAGGTAGACTCTCACTTCCTTAGGAAGTGGCTCTATCTTGACACCACCTTGTTCTATCAGTCCTGGAAATAAAGGAGCAAAGTTGGCAGAGCTCAGAGAAGACCACTATAAGAACCCACAGCACCCAGTCAGTAGGGATTAATTCATTCACCATGTATTCTACAGACAATGACACTGAGCCCCAGAATCCAAACAAAGTCCACTGGGACAAAAACACACATGTAAACAGGAAGTATGTTCTTCAGTCATACATCCCATTCTTGAGAGTTCATTGCATAAAACTTAAAATTATGTCCCTAACTTGTGAGCCAATCTACATGACAAATGCTTTAATGATACTTGTATCCTGTGCAGTGCAAACACAGTGAAAGAGGAATGTTTGACCTGATGACTGGAAGATGGCAGCTGGACACAGGATGTTCAGGACAGAGAGTAGAGTTAGGGCAGCAGCCATAGGACACAGAAACATGACATAGATGTGGAAGTGCACATGGTTAGCATCCCTGAGGTGTCCAGTGCAAGGATAGGTGCAGACACGTGAAGTGAGGCAGACAGTTTGATGTGGCTGTCACATCAGCTAGTCCACCATCTCTGGGGAGAATCCAGACATGTGCCCACGAGGAAGAAAACAATGTCAGCTTGTTTCGTTATGGGAAGCTATCTTCCTTTCTCGTTTTGTCAATCTGGTACCCATTTTATTGGGTGAGCTGCCAGAGTTCTGAGAGGCAGCCAGGGGTGGCGAGAAGTGAGAGAACACTGAGAGAGAGGAGGAGCCATTTCTACTACCCAGGAGTTTTTTTTTTTTTTTCCTGGAGTTTTTCACCCTGGAAAGCCCCAGGACATTCACAGCAACCATCTGCACAGGTATACAGAAGCCAGATCCCTCAGTCTTCCTAGAATCCTTTCCCCAGCCTGGTCTGGATCATCCAGCAAGCAGCCAAGCCGCTCAGCAATTAGGTACCTTCTACACCCCAGCTGGCATTGGCCACTATACTTTACACCTCTAAGGGGAACCTGTGTGCCATTCTGGGGATTCCCCATAACACACTGATGAGGAGCTGGCCTTGCTAGAAGGACGTGTGGAAGCTTCTGGACTAAGAATAGGGAAGAGCTATGGACTATGCCAGGCTTTATAAAGAGTGTTCTGAGTTGGACTTCCAGGAGAGGGCTGTGTGTGGAAAGGGTGTGACACAGAGCAAGTGTGGCAACAGGTAGCAGTATAGAGGCTGACCGCCAGCTGCCATCTTCCAGGTGACAGCAGATTGAACACATTGTCTGTTAATTTTTCCTTTTCTCAGATGGATGGGCCTCTTGACCATAGGAGATCAGGACATAAAGAGGTGAAAACAGGCGGAATTTGCATTTTCCCCAAATTGTCAAAGTGAGCCAAAGGAAAGGATAACATTTTACCTATTCTTGGACAGGAAAGCAGAAAAGGGTTAAAGCAATCCAGACAGTGTCCAGCAAGGAAGGCCTTGTAGCTGGCACAGGGAAAGGCCATCAACTGACAGGAATTCTCCAGGGCGCTGATGTAGAGATACACAGCCCTCATGTGATCACAGATCAGATAACTGTAACCTGAACAGAGGAAGAAAACCACAAGGAAGGTTTCAGTCAAGACAAATGGAAACTCCCTCCATGCTACTTACTGTAACTCTACTGAATTTTAAATTCCAGAAGACTATAAATACATGGGATGTCCCCTGCACGACATTCTAAAAATATGGACGGATATAGCTACCACATTCTCCTTTTCCCTTTTAATTTTCCAGAGACATATAAGCTTAATCTGTCAAGAAAATGGATTTGAGTTCCATTCTTATGGGAACATGCACATTCTCTTTCATAAAATGGGAACACACAGGGCTGGAGATGTGGCTCAAGAGGTAGAGTTCTTTCTTTGCAAGCACAAAGCCCTGAGTTCAAACCCTGGTCCCACCAAAAAGAAAAAAAAAGGCGGGGGGGCGGGCGGAATACACAGAGGGTTGGAGAAGCTGATGTCAGTTCTGGAAAAGGTTATCTGCATTTTTACTTTCATCGTCATCCACACAAACAATTTTTTCAACCTCATTGCACCAAACTCAGCAAGGACACAATTGAGGGAGTCCACATTCATGGTCAATTTCTAATGTGCTTCTGCTAATTTGGTCAAATAACTGACAAAATGCATTTGCTAAATAGTCCTATTTTCCAAACACTTGCTTTTGTTGTTGCTATTACTTACTATTTAAATTATGCAAGCAACCCACATTGGATGAATTGAGGTAAACAGTGAGCTACAGAGTCCTGGGGTCTTCAGACTCTCCCTGCACCTTGGGACCCTCTCTCTGGGACTGACAACCAAGGCTGAGGTGTGTGTTGACCTTCCTTCCCCCATGATGGGGACACTCTCCACTACCAAGTTCCTTCCAGCATCAACAGGGAGCTGAGACAGAGACAAGCCAAGCTTGCACCCTTCTAAAATTGTGCTGTGAAGAAATGAAAAATGGTAGACTAAAACACACCAGAAATTTTTCCAAGCCACTGAAACCAAATCATCTTTCCTGATCAGAATTTCTGAAAATTTTATTAAAGTGTTTTTAAGAAGCATGTTTTTTGGAAAACTAGTAAAACTGGCAAAGTAGGTTACTGATTATTCAACATTCGAGTTGTCAAGGAATCCTTAAAATGTCATGAATTTGGTAAGCAAAAAAGCCTGAAAACATAGCAAACAGAAATCACCATTCAAAATTTCATACAAAATACTGATGTACTGGTTATACTTATAGGCAGAATATAAGAAAAATAAACAATCCTTGATCCTTACCTTTTGGCAAATTTAGTATTATTTAAGACAATGCTATGAAGAATACAATCAATGAATACATTTTAAAAAGAACATTGAAGAACAACATATTTAGAAGAGAAGAAATGTGTATCCATTGAATGTATGCAAGATTGTCTTGAAGACAATTTTAGAGAATTGTCAGGTGTAGCAAGTTCGGCGGAAATCATCTTTGGGCTAGGTAGATTTGGGTCCAGTGGAATCCAACTTCTGTCTTGACTATGCCCTGTAGAGGATGCAGCTAGTGTGGGCTATGCCACAAATGAGGACCCAGGGAAGAAAAGAGGTTACTGGCTTGAGCAATTAGTGGTAAGGCAGCACAAGTATGATGCAGGCTTCCAATATCAGGAGTTCCCTCTATAATTCATGGCTCCAGAGGCATTCAACAAGTGCTGAGTAAAGTATTATAGGACATAGCAAAGGGTGTTGTCAGGAAGATGCTGTGTGGCCCACACTGGCTGCTTCAACAGGCAGACTGTTGGTGAATTCTGTCTGTGAAGCAGTCAAACACCAACTCTCTTTGGCTTTCTTTCTTTTTTTGGTACTGGGGTTTGAACTCAGGGCCCCATGCTTGCCAGGCAGGCACTCTTACCACTTGAGTCACTCCACCAGCCCCCTTTGGCTTTCTGACCTGCATGAAAGAACATGGGACAGCCAGGTTGGTCTTGGCCTCCATTGACGAAGTAGTCCACATGTCCAACGGGAATCCGAATACCCAAATCTGAAAGAGGCAGACCCTCATTAATGTCTTGCTTCAGGGACATAATTTTCGGATCCCACAGCAGAGTCCACTGGCAGCAGAGTCTGTGTTCTGACTTTGAATTCCCACCCTACCTCACTCCAAAAGGTTGTCAGACTTTGCAAGATGGACCATGCTGAGAGGATCCACAATACACATATTTGCCTAACAAAAATCAAGAAAAGATTCCTTAGCTGGGTGCCAGTGGCTCATGCCTGTAATCCTAGCTACTCAGGAGGCAGAGATCATGAGGATCATGGTTCAAAGCCAGCCTGGGCAAACAGTCTATGAGGACCCCATCATCAAAAAAAAGAAGTGGCTCAAGGTGTAGGCCCTAAGTTCAAACTCCAGTACTTCAAAAAAAAAAAAAAAAGATTCCTCAACACGTTTATGTAAATCAATAAATGCTATAAACTTGGTAAATTTCCTTGTTGAGTAGTTTATGTCTTCCTTCATGCAATAGGTCAGACAAATAAGTTTGGGGAGCCATTTCCACAGACTCAACAAACCATATTTTAGTGCTCTCCTAAAATAAGAGTGGAAATATGGCGTGCCTGCAAAGAGCTGAGTTTGAGAGAATATAGTTCTTACTTAGTTACTGTGGCCGTATCCCAGGCCCTCCCAAATGGCACATCTGAGCCATAAGTACAAGTCAGGCAAGCAGGAGGCCCTGAGTTCAAACCCCAGTACCACCGCCACCATCACCCTACCACCACACACACACACACAGATTGATTGAACAAGTGGAATGGCCTTTTTCCAGTCCCACAGGAAAACGTGCTTTGAATGGCCGTAGAGGCCAATCTCAGGGAACTACCAAGTCACCTACTTAACAGATTTAGGGACAGAAGAGATTTGCTTTGTTTTTACTTTATATATGTAAACAAACTCTCCATTTTCCCTTGTTCTCACTGTCTTGCAACCTCCATTATACCCATTATACTTTCTGTCTCCATGAACTTGAATACTTTTTTTTTTTTTGCAGTACTTGGGTTTTGAACTCAGGGCTTACACCTTGAGCCACTCCACTAGCCCTTTTTTTGTGATAGGTTTTTTCGAGATAGGGTCTCACAGATCTGTTTGCCCTGGCTGGCTTCGAACCACAATCCTCCTGATCTCTGCCTCCTGAATAGCTAGGATTACAGGCATGAGCTCTAGGCATGAGTTCATAGGCTGGGTTGTATGAACTTAAGTACTATTAAATAAGAAATTCATTTTATTCATGAATGGTTAATTAATACAACATGGACAGGCAGAGGCCTGTGGACTTTGATCTCCTAGTGTGCAGTGTAGATGAGAATGAGTATGTTACTGCACAGGCTTCTTCCAGAATCATGCATCTGTGAGTTTTGCATGCTAGAAGATGACCTTGAACCAAAGAGAATAAGATAGAGGTGTCTGTCACGTAAACTGCAAGCTCTTCTTCTTAGGTACAGATATTATTTCTCCTTGCTCCAGTGACACCGAGCACAGTGCCTGGCATAGACACTATTTTATATCCAGTAGAATTGAGGAGGATTGCCTGCCTCTTTTCCCACTTGGTCAGAAATGCTTAATTTAAGGCTGAGATCAGGAAGACCACAGTCCAGGCTCGCCTGGGCAAAAAGCAAGATCCTATCTCCAAAATAATCAGAGCAAAAAGGGCTGGGGCATGGCTCAAACAGTAAAGTACCTGCTTAGCAACTACAAAGCCCTTACTTCAAACCTCCGTACTGCACAGGGGCAGCTTAATTTGGTCACAATAGTTTGAGAGTTGGGGGTCTTTCCTGTGGGTGTTATTATTGGGAGAGGGATTCTCTTTTTCCACTGTACTGAGGACTGGGCTTGTTCTCTGGGGAGGAAGGAAGTGCGAGCCTGCCTGTGTGCTTTGGGAATGGAATGTCCCCATCCCCAGGGGCCAGGCAGTGAAAAAACAGCCTTTCTTATAAGTCAGCCAGGTCTCAGTGCCCTCTCCATCCCACTTGGCATAAGGTTTGCTATGGAATCAGAGAGCAAGATTCTAGAACAGACAATTTTGGTACATGAGTAAGAATCCTCCTACCTACTGGTAGCTAAAAAAAAACAACATTCATTTCAGTGGTCACAGTGGTAATGACAACCATAGAATGACAAAGCTGGAGGAGACTTTCAAGATTATTTTGGTAAACTCCTCACTGCACAACAGAAGCCCTAAGAGGAACAGGCTATATCTCCCAGGATCATATCCCCAGATGTGATCCAGTCTCCTAGTGTCTGCCCTGTGCTCACATCCCTCACCCCAGGTCTGTCACCCTAGCTCACTGTCAGTGTCTGTGTGGATGGCTTCCACAAAGAGGGCATCTCCAGCATCCAAGCGCTCCTCCAGGCTGGCTCTGGTATACTCGGGTCCAGCGGGGTCCAGGCCTGCAAAGACAGACTGCTATCAGGAGCCTCTTTCCTCTTAGTGTGGAGAGCCATGGGTTCACCACATGCCCACTCTGACAGCTCCTCCAGTTCAGATTACACAGTCCTCCCACAAGGTCCAAGAGTTGGGAGAACGAATTCAGAACCACCTTACCCAAGAAACCCCAATCTCAATCTCTCAATCTTTCTCTCTCTCTCTCTTTCTCTGGCAGTACTGGGGTTTGAACTCAGAGCCTTGCATTTACTAGGCAGACTCTCTACCTTACTTGAGCCACACACCCATCCCTTTATTATTTCAGTTATTTTTCCACTAAGGTCATGTGTTCTTGCTCAGGGCCAGCCTCCTTGCTCAGGATCTGTAGCTGGGGCTATAGACACATTCCACCACACGTGGCCCATTTGTTGAGACCAACTCTTTATCCAGGCTGGCCTTGAACCATGATTCTCCTGATCTCTACCTCTGGAGTAGCTAGAATTAGAGGCATGTTCCACCATACTGGGCTAAGTTGTCTTTCTTAAGGTAACCTCTGAAGGACCCAGTTTTCTTTTGTTTTGTTTTGGAACCAGTTTTTTTCTGGCTCTAAAGTGAGCTTAATAATATCAACTATTTGGCAAGGACTAATGTGAGTAATAGTCACTTTCAGGAGCAAGTCAGTATCATCCCAAAGGAGCTTCTCCGAGGGACTCACAATTGTCCTACCTGAGGGCCTGGAAGCCGGGGTCTGGAAACCCCAGTCCCTTATGGCTTGAGATGGCTCCTGAGGTATAAAGTCCTCAGCACCTTTGCAGGTGTTTAACAAAACTGTCTGAAGGCAATTTCCATGCCAGGCCAAAGATATGGGCTATTACAGCCCAGTTACAGATGGAGACACTAAGGCTCAAAAAGAAATACATGGCCTCCTATACTAACTGTATAGTACCATACCATTTTGTGCAAGAAGCCCATAACAAATACATTTTCCTGGTAAGAGATGACTCCAGCATAAGAACACAGGCTCAACCAGAATCTTCTACAGGGCTCTCATCTCTAAGCCATGGGAGGATGGGCAGGAGGAAGGTTACCTGTGATCCGTCCCAACTGGCCTTTGTAGAAGTGTCCACCACACCACCAACATGGGCTCCCAGGCTGACACCAATGATGTGGATTGAGGACTCTGACACACCCAGTACCTGGAACAGGACAGTGACAGTTTCATTTGAGCCAAAGCATCTTTTCCCTGAGGCTTTGGATTCAGAGGCCCCTGAATATGACACGCCCATGACACATGCTTCAGAAAAAGGGGACTTCCATCCTTGACCACATGTCCTCTTCCTGACTGCCCACCCTGACAATCCCCTCACTTCAAAGTGTGTGAATAATTCAACACCATTCCCTGTGAAGGAGCGCAGTCCACATTCACTATCTATTGTGCAGTGACACATTTGACAGATGACAATCATGAATGTTAATGAGGCTCAACAACCTATCTGTGGTCAGCCCTCCATGGGGCCAACTCAAGATTGAACTGAAGACCAACAGCTGGTGGATGTTTCTGCTTAGGCCCCAGTCCTCCTTAAAGGGTCCTCTTTTCTTTCTGACAGCTCTCTCCTCCCTAAGCAGCCTAAACTCACCTGAGGTCTTCTGCACCTACCAGGAGTTTACTGAGGAAGCGGGAGATCTCGAGGCTCAGCTTAACCACATTTTCCACAGCTGAGAAGTAGACACCTGATGATCCATACACCCAGTCCACTGCAATCACGTTCACATTTGTTGCCCGCAGAAGGGCTCGAATGAATGTGTCAATCCAGGAAGGTTTTGTGCCTAAAGCCCTAGACATGGGGCCAAAAACAGAGGAAAGTTACCTGTCAAGCTCATATTCATTGTCACAGAAATGTCTATGAATCCCAAATGCAGAGAAGTCCAAACTAAGGAAGGAGTATAGGGGGAGTCAATCATACAGTGCTCTGAGCAGAGGGAGGACATAATTCTAACGTTGCGAGGCCTTCTGTCCAGCAGTGAACTCCATGTATAAATTATACAAGGGCACCTCTTGTTCCAGGTAGATGCAGCCTCATGCCAGGGTTCAGAACTCAGGGTGGAAAGTTCCAGTCCCACATGCCTTTAGTCAGGCACCTTTGTGCGATACACAAACTCCATAAACCATACACATTGCTCTACCCTTGTTTTGTGTTATTTGTGGACAAGAAAAGACAGCTTTGTACCTTAAGAGTTAAGATTTGCAATCTTAATTCTAATTCTAGAATACAGGCTCTTTCCTTGAGGATGTTTTCATTCACTTACTCACCCATGCACTCATTCAACAAACATGTGTGAAGTACCTTTTGGCCAGGGAGTATGCTAGGCGCTTTCCTAGAAATGAAGACTAGTAAGGTATAGTCCCTATCCTTCTGGAACTTACAGTATAATAATACTTTTCTGAGAGAAGAATAATGGGAAAATTTTCAGAAAGCTTTCCTTCAGATTGGGATCAGGAAAGTTTTTGCAATGCCTGCCACTGTAGGAACAATGTGTGTATACCCACATGGACAGAAGAGCACAGACTGGGCGTATGCCCTGGGAAGCAGTTTCAGGGGATTTGGGAGTAGAAAGAATGACAAGCCTGATGAGCTCTAGCTGCAACCCATCCCTGGACTGGAGATGCACAGTCAGCCTTGGATAATGGCGAACTCTGAGCATTGCCAGGAGGGAGACTTTGGATCAAGAGTGAGGAAGTACCTCTAAGGAAGTATGTGGCTAGACCCCTGGAGTCCAGGGATCCAAGAGAGGCCAAACATCAGGAAGTGCCCACTTGAGGCTTTCTGCCCACCTGTTCATCAGATACTCTCTCTCAACTCTAGGTGTTCTATGGTACTGCAATTCCACCATAGCCTCTTCCTCCCAGAAACCTTTCTCTGTTTTTGGCCTTGTCAGTATAATATTGGGAAAAGATGTTGAAGAACGTGTAGTGATTGACTTGAAACTCAGTGATTACACATTACAACAAAATTGGGACTGTAGGGTATCAGAAATTGCAGAAGACAAGTACCTAGTTCCTGAGAAATGCTAACCTCTGGGTACCATGGAAGCAGCACCTATAAATAGATGTTTATCAAATCATGAAACCAGGGAAAAAGTGAAAAGAAAAAAAAAAAAGGAAATAAGGTCCTGAAAAACACCATGCTGTTACCCCTGAACGATCATGCAAAACCTGTGACCTCGTTGTTTGAGGTGAAACACTGAAGTGTAGGTTGCATGACAAGATTCACCTCAGATAACAAGGTCACAAGTTTTGTTGGATTATTCAGAGATGATAACATGGTGTTTTTACCCAGAGACCTCTGATACCATCCCTATAAGCTCTGTGTATACAGTGACTTGTCCAGGGTCACACATATGTACTGACCTCTCCAGTGTGCAGACAAGACTGGAGGAGTGATGTACGTCATTGACAGAAGAACAACATATGTGTGTGCACATGTGTATGAGACACCTTCAAAGGCAGAAGGACACAAGGGACAGAATAGGAGATGGGCCATAAGTCTGTTCCTCCTCTTGCTCCCCACAAACTTCCTTTGGCATTATGGTCCCTTTGTATTTCTTAGCTGAGAAGATCCTATTAGTTACTTAGTTCTCACCTGAATCCATGAATAATGAGTTTGGTTCCTAGAGTGGCATTAAACCCAGTTTTTTGGATGTCATTGCTGTCTTCCACTAGCTGCCCACAGCTAGGATCTGAAGGGGCAAAGAGGAGAAACTGGACTTTGAGGTTGGTGCCTTTGAGGAGGTTGGCATTCTGGAAGTCAGTGCACTTTGGCTGTGGGGTAGGAGGTGCATCCCCTGGAGGAAAACAAAGCAAAACCAGATATACAGACTGAGGTCATCTGCTTGTAGAAGGAAAAATGAAGAAAGAAATAGGCTTACTGGTATAGGGTTTATTATAAGTGGGCTAGTGCATCAACTGGTATTGGTTATTGGTTAAACACTGCATCGATTCTCTAACCAAAATCTGTGAATATTTTTCATGTTCTCATCAGAGAAGATGAATATCGCTCAACTAGAGGTAGCTAAAGACCACGGTGAAGTGGCTGTTGTTATGGCTGAGTAGAGTGCCTCTCTCCAAAATCCATACATTGAAGTCCTAACCTCCAATACCTCAGAAGGTGACTATATTTGGAGAGAGAATCTTTACAAAGGTACTTAAGTTAAAAAGAGGCCAGAGAGTGGGCCCTAGTCCAATATGATTGCTGTCCTTATAAAAAGAAGATCTTTGGGCAGGGACAGAGGACAGAGGAAAGATGGTATGAAGAAACACAGGAAGAGGATTGCCATCCACAAGCAAGGAGAAAGATCTAGAGTAGACCCTTCCCTTAGCCCAACCCTGCTGATATAGATTTCAGACCTCCAACCTCCAGAACTGTGACATACTGAATTTCTGCTGTTTAAGCCACCTAGTAGGTGATACTCCATTATGGCAGCCCTAGGAAACTAGTGCAGATGTCTAAAAAAGTACCCTGAGCAGTCAATGAGCAGTTCTCCTGGAGACTATGTCCCTTGCCCCATCTGAATAGCCCATCCCAGAAGGCTTCAACCCCCCTCCACCAACCTCATCACTTGTCCTAATGAGCAGTCCAGGACTCTCCAATGCCCACACATGGCTGCCTTGTCAGCTGGTAGAGAAGAGCCATAACCAGCCACACCAACTCTACAGCACCTTACACTGCACACCTTTAGACTAAGTATTTCTGGTCAAGACCATTTAGGGCCTTTTGCATGCTCTATCAGAAAAAAGACAGCATCAAACTCTTCCTTCCCAGGAAGCTGAAAATCTCACTCCTCTCAAGACCCAGCATCCCATCCCCATGTCTACTTCTGAGATGAAGAACTGCGGTCACTGACCCCCAGAACCTCCTGAAAGGAAAGACTGGCCAGCACGCATCTTGGCGCCATTGGGAGCTTCCTGGTTAGTGGCTCAGACCAGAAGTCCAGATTGCAGACTGTTTTGTGCAGGCCCCTTCACTGAGGGGTTGGCAGTTTTAGGTTGCTCAGTGCTTACATGCTGTCAGAGGTAACTGGGCAGTGCATACACAGCATAAGGTGTGGATCTGATAGTATGAGTGGATTGTGGGAACCCGGTCCATAGAGAATCCACATCCAGTGAAGCCTTCTAGAGCACCACCACCTCTTCTGCATCTGAACCCCAGACCTCATCCCTAGCACCCCCCCAAGCATAACCCTTCAAGCAGTTGAGTCTGGGACACCCTGGGATCAAGTCACTCTATGGGCAATACCCCTATTTCTATCCTCTTCCCCCCTGCTCCTCAGCCTGTACCTTGAGCAGATCCAGTAAAAGGCTATGCCTTTTGGGGCCTGAGGTCATTGAGGATGTGCCCTTGAACAGAATCATAGAAATTTAGACTCTTCTAATTCCTTTCTACTCCATGCTGAAGACGTGGCCTTTCTCTTCTATACATCTTGCCATGATGTGACATGCAAAGGATGGGCAAAACCACTGTGGCCACCTGATCTTGGACTTGAATCTCCAAACTAAATAAACATGATCTAAATAACCCTTTTTTTTTAAAGTTAATTACCCCATACATTTTGTTATAGTAATATAACTAATGAATATAATAAACCCCAACAACCATCAAAGAATTAATATCCTCCAGACATTATCTAAATAAAATGTTATAAAATTAAAAATTAATAATGAAAGTTATTTTAAAATACATTTGGAAATATAAAAACACTCTTTTTCAGCAATGTGTGGGTTAAAGAATAATCACAATGAATCTGGAGAATATTTTTTTAAAAACTTAAATGATAATAAAACAAGTACATATCAAACTTTGCATAAAGTGGCCAAATGCAGAATTTACAGTGTCAAACTAACGGGAGGCCATTGGACTGAGACAGCTCTGGTGCTTGAGTTCCTAACTCAAACCAAAACCCAACTAATAGAGAACATTGTTGGGTGGGAAAAAGAAACTTAAGCTTCACCAGTAAGAAGTTGCCCACTAATCTCCAACCATGGGCTTCAAGGATGCTGATCCTCTTCACCGAATCAAATCTTTTCTTTGCCTTGTTCTATAAAAGCTGCACCAATCTCTTCAGTGAAGTCCTGGACCATTTGTGGTCTGGAGGTGCCCAATCCATGAGTCACTGTTTGCTTTAAGATTTTAAGGTGCCTAAGTTTATCTTTTAACAGGGGAAGTATGTAACCTTAAATGCAAATACTAGAGGGGAAAGATTTAGTTTAAGAAAGTTAATCTTTCAACTCAGAAAAGAACAACACAGTAACTCTATATAAAATATAGGGAAATAAACATAGAAGTGATAGTTGAAATGAAAGAAATGAAAACAATGGAATAAGAGTGACACTGTGAACAATTTATGCATTATAGTTCAGGCTGAACTTTTGGGTATGTTTTTGTCTTTGACTCACCCCTTCCTCTCATCTCCTGCATACAAATGGTAAAGTAATCCTATTGGCTCTATTGTCAGAATCAAATATTCAGAATTCAACCATTTCACTAACCCAGTCGATACCTTGGTTTCAGACATCATCATTTCTGAAAACTGTTGTCATAGTTTGTCACTACTTTTCCTGCCTACACTTTGGCTTCTTTGGTCTACCAAAATTATCCTCTTTTAAAGTAAGTCATGGGTTGGGGTATGGCTCAAGTGGTAGAGTGCCTGCCTAGCAAGCTCAAGGCCCTTAGTTCAAACACCAAAACTGCCAAAAAAAAGAAAAAAAAGTAAGTCATGTCACACCTCTGTGCAAAAAGCCTCCAAGCCACTCAGAATAAAATCTGAAATCCTAGCAATGGATTACAAGGCTATAAACGATCAAATCCACCCTCTCAGAAACAGTTTGCCTTATCTTATTTGGTTTACTCTGTTCCAGCCAGCTCTTCTCCTTGCTCTTTCTCCTGCCAGAGGGCCTTTGCATCGGCTGTTCCTTCTGCCTGAAATGTTTCCCTTGGGGACCTACAGGATTAATTCCCTCCCCTCCTTCAAGTCAGCTTGTCAAATGCCATTTTCGCTTCTCGCCAACCTATTTAAATTGTGACCAGCTTATGCACGTCCTCCCTGTTCTCTCTGTCTTTCTTACCCTTATTTACTTGTATAGCAACCATCATCTTCTACTTTACTATGCAATTGACTAATTTGTGATACGTAGTGTTTATTACTTTTCTCCCCACATTAGAACAGACTTTCAGTCAAGGCATCAATTATATCCACTTTGTTCACTCTACTGCTTAGAATAGTGCCTGCTGTACACAACAAGCTTTGAAAACTATTATTCTTTGAAAAGAATGATAAGCTAGATGTACTTTTGATAAGACAGCATAAGGAAAAAAAGAAGGAAGTCACAAGTAAGCAATATCAGGAATAGTAAGAGGGTATAAATATAGACACAATTGACTTTTTCAAACCATAAAAACACATACCTATATCCACCCAAAAGTTGAAATATTGATATTTTCCTAAAAACTGGTAATTTCCTAGAAAAGTACAACTTACCAAACTTAGCCAAGAAAAAACAAAACAGATAATCAAATGTCAAACTGACATACAAAGGAATTGAAGCAGTAGTTTTAAACCCATCCATCAGAAAACTCCAACATCCCGACAGTTTTACAGAAAAGTTCTACCAACTTCATAATCCTCAATTTATCCATATTGCTCCTGAGAAGAGAAAATAGGAGACAGACTCCCAGACTCCCAACTCATTCTTGAGAATAATCAAAATATAATTTTTTTCTAATTTCCAAAAAATCGGAAAGAGCTACATCAAAAAGTTAGAAATGTATTTGTGTTTGGGTGGTAGGCTATGAATGATATTTTTCCATCTATTTTATTGTATTTATTTTCATAAACTTCATGTAAAATTTTACATAAAAATCTATCTATCTTCTAAGCTTTCTTATATCTTATTTATTTATTTATTTTCTGCAGCACTGGGGTTTGAACTCAGGGCTTCACACTTGCTAGATAGGTGCTGTTACTGCTTGAGCCACTCCACCAGCCCCTATTTTCTAAGCTTTCTGTCACAGGTCTATATTCCTTTTTAAAAACTCAGAAGAATACAAAGAGGTGCAAGAGGTAATACATTTCTCTTTAAATAGATAATCCCTGTTGATCCCTAAAAAGTAAAATTAGAAATCTTAAACTTTTCATAGACCCTCTTCCCAGAGGTAAATTCTACTTCCTAGCTTTTCTTGTGATTTCCCCACCCACCCCAAGGAAAAAATTATATACAGAGCAGGCATAAATTGCGTATATCTATATGTTCCTATTGTGTTGATTTTGTACTGGAAAATACCTAGAATTTAGCTAAAGAGAAAAGAATTCTATTTTGCAAGTTTAAAAGCACTAGGCCTTGAAGACTATGTCAATCAAACTAGAATACAACTCAGAACCTAGGACTCTTCGAGAAAAGGGAAGCGGTCAAAGGGAGGAAAGACCTTAGAAGCCCTTCTAGGATGCTCTTATCATAATCAATGAAGGTGGAAAAGAGAAGGAAGGAGGGCAAGAAGAGGGGGGAAGGGACAGAGGGAAGGAAGAGTTCTACGTGGATCCTATAATTCCTTGGGAAAAGAGAACTAGACTAATGGGCTTCCCTGGTTCTCTCTGGATGGTTTCTCTCTGGAATGGTTAACCCTGGCAGAGATGTTAGGTTCTGGTGCCAAAATTTCCCCTTCATGCAGGCTAGGAGTTTCCACACACATGAAGGACTTTAAGGATCAGAGTGACCCAAAAGTCAATTGACCAGCCAGAGAGTACCCCTATTTCTCACTCTGGGCAGCACATCTACACTTACCAGCTGCCCTCTGTCTATAACATTTCTCTGGAGCCCAGGGAAGGATAGGGCAAGAGTATTTATTCCAGGATAACATTGTGTTATTCATCTTCAATTTTCCTCTGTCAAAAACAGAGTTCTAGTCTCCTTCATCCTCATTTTTGCTAAGAGCTTCTTGGGACAGGCACAAGGAATAGACGCTACCACCATCTACATTCCAGGCATCTTTCTCTACTGGACTGCTGCTGTCTGCCAAGTGGGTGTGAAAAGGGCCACTGCACCAAGGCCACCAAGGCTCACTTTCAGGTGACATTGGTGAAGAGTTGGTTTGGCCTGAACTCACTGAGGACTTTTTCTTATTTGGTGCTGGGGATTGAACCAAGGGTAGCACACATGATAGGTAAGTGCTCTACCACTGAGTTACATTCCCAGCCCCAAAGGATTCATTTTTATAGAGCTCTAACAAATCAGTTAGGGAGGGAAATGACCCAGAAAAGACAGACAAAAGGATAAACAGACACTTAATTGAAAGCAAATCAAAACAGCCAATAGATACATAAAAAGATGTTCGCTTAATCATAATAAGAAAAAAATTAAGACAACAATGTAAGACTATTTTCTCATCGGATAGGTAATTCTAAAAATATTTGCTATTCTAGAGTGTTAGCAGAGAGGTGAGGAAATGGCCATCCTCACATATTAATAAATAGTTATAACCTTTTTGCAAGGCAATGTTTTTCACAACAAGTAAGAATGTGTAAGATATAAATCCTGTCACACCCAGGGACTTGGAGGGGTGACTCAAATAGTAGAGTGCCTGCTTTGCAAGTGTGAAGCCCTGAGTCCAAACCCCCCAAAAAATAATAACTTAAAAAATAAATCCTTTCAAACCCAGTATATATATGTATAAGCAGCCATTAAAAAGAATGAGGTAGCTCTGTATGTTGATATGGGAGGATTTCACATACTTGCACACAAATATTTATGTAATACACATCTTATATAAATAAGAATAGTTTATATAAAATATGCAGCAGTCACATTATACTTTTAGGACTGTGTGAGTTTATCATTAGCATATATTTCCATATATTAATTGTACTTTGTTTTAAAGTTTGAATCTTAAAAACTGTAATTTTCACTAGGGTTCACTTTATTTCTGTAACTTGGCACCTAGCCAAACTACGGAAGCAGGGATAGAGAGTTAAATACTGGCTTGTCCAAGTCTGAAAAAAGCCCATAGTTTCCCATTCTTGGGCCTGAGTGCTGAACAGGTGTTAAAGAAAAGTCATTAAAGGTAGGTGCCGGTTGCTCATGCCTGTAATCCTAGCTACTAAGGAGGCAGAGATAAGAGGGATGGTTGTTCGAAGCCAGCCCAGACAAATAGTTCCATGAGACCCTATCTTGAAAAAAAGCCCTTCACAAAAAAGGGCTGGTGGAGTGACTCAAGGTGTAGGTCCTGAATTCAAGCCCCAGTACCACAAAAAAAAAAAAAAAAAAAAAGGAAGAAAAAGAAAAGTCATTAAAGATCTTTAAAGATCTAGCAATGCCCACGTCTTGTGTGCTTGGCCTAGGCCAAGAAGGGAGTGGGATACTCTAGCAGAGACACGGTAGTTTCAAAAGCACAACCAGACACACTTTGTTGTCGAATGTGGAGGTAACAGAGGAGTCACTGCATGTGTACCCTGTTGTGGGCTCCCACCACAACACGGCTCATCAGACACTGCAAAATGAGAGTAGTTCAGGAGCTCCCACCATACCTGACTCAATGTGCTAGGGGCAGCATCACCTTCAGTGAGGCTGGTCCAGACTGGCTTTTGAGAAGCGGACATTGCCAGCCCAGTGCTGACTGCTTCACCTCAGCTGCCTTTGCCCTGTCTCTATACAACTAAACCCTGAACTAACTGCCACCTCCTCTGAGCCCCAGCCTTCTCAGAAGACACATGTTCTCAGCTGACCTGCACCTGCTTTGTCAGTACACTCACTGAAATGGGCCACCCTCTGGACCCATTCTGTGACTACAGTGCTGTTTCAGGGCCAGTGTCATTTAACTAGTCTACATAAATGTCAGGAAGTAAAAATGAGGCCTGTCACCCGATCACTTTTCTCCTAAACAACCAATGTCTTTGATTTTTTGAAGGGCACCTCTGTGCCATGTCCTGGTGTAGGTTCTATGGATTCAAGGATAGTAAGAGACTAGCCATATACCCTCAGGAGCTCAAAGTCTGGCAAGGAAAATAGAAATTATCAGGAAAGCCCATAGAAGGCAGGGACACACCATGTGTGGCCAGAAAACTGTGCTGAGAGTACACCTGGAAAGACCACCTTACCCAAGTAGAGGAAGACTTCAGAAACCACCAAGATAGGACACGCCTGAGCCAGCTGGCAGACACAAGGGTCAGTTTGGCCAAGGAGCAAGCTCCACAGTCTTGACCTCCACATTTTAAGGAAAACACTTGAAATGTGTTGAGTGACTGAAAGTTTGCTCAGGTGCCCAGCCAAGAGAGTGAGTGGAGGCCCAGCTTCCACAGGGGCCCCATGCATCAACTGCTGTCCTCCTGTGACAAAGGATCCTCTTACCCAATGGGCACTCAGGTACTCCTTAATTTCCCTCATATTCATTTGTCCTCTTCCTGTCCTTTACCTTGATCTCTCTGCCTCCTTCAATCTCTTTTCTTCTCACTACTTCCTGTAGCTACCTTAATGCAACTTTTTCCTTTCCTCTTGGGCATATGTCTGTCCCTCTTGATTGTGTGTGTATACACACACACACACACACACACACACACACACACTTCTAGCTTTGCCTATCCACCTACTCATTTCATTTCTAAGATAGTACTTTTAGAAGAACAGGAAACATTAATCCAATAAATTTTATCACTGTTGACAATTAGGTGGGAAGGAAGAGATACATAGGAAATGGAGACTTCCCCTTCAAGATAGGTGTGAAAAGAAAGATGGCAGCAAAGGCAAGAGGACAGGGCAAGTACCCCAGAGGCCCTGCTAGCAAGTTGTTACCAGCTCACTTCCTGCCCAGGGCATCTAGAATGCCTCCAGGATATGAGTTGGACTGGATCAGTTTTGCCCTGACCCCAACCCTGCTACCTGGCTCAGGGTTTCTGCATTCCTTATGTCTGAGGCCCCCATTGAGAGGTGAGATTCCAAAAAGAGTTTGAAAACAATTCGCTACTAATCTTTCCACTCTCAAGTTTCAAATCAGGACAACCAGCATAATGCTTCCTGGTTCCCCAGCTGGTGTGGAGCTGCTCAGTGAGCAGGGACAAAGCAGCCCACCTAGTCTACGTCTCCAAACAACACCCACAACCCTTCAACAGTCTTCAGGGAACCTCCCATGGTCTCTTCAAAATGGCTCCCAACGGCCCTGTTCCCTCCTCTTCCACTGATTCACGTGACCATTCACTAATAATACAATCACCAGAGAATAAGCAACTGCAAAAGGTCAGACCCTGTGCACAGATTTTCTCATTTAGTCTTTCAGCATTCCTAGTTGGTAAAGATAATCTCCAACTGCAGGTGAAGAAAAGTCACATCCTCTAAGTCATGACACTACTAAGAAATAGCCAGGATTCAAAGCAGTGAGTGACACTAACCCAGAGCCTGTTGCCTGTCTGTTCAACACCTCCTCACTGAGCAGCATGCAACAACACTCACTGAGCACCCACTGTATACAGAGCTCAGTGCTACATGTCAGGAAGAGGCAAGAGCCCCAAACTCTCACCTTGTGGGAACAAATAACTGAGGGACAAGAAAGTCACATGAAGCCAGGCAGCAAAGTGAAAAGCCACCCCGGGTGCATGGAGACAATAGATCCATATGAGTTGGACTTTGGAGCAGGAGAATGAAGTGTTGCAAGGGATAGGAATCAGAAAAGTCCTCTTGGAAGATGGAAGGAGCAGAAATAGATCACTGGTAGTATGAGAGCAACTCCAGCAAGAAGGAGACACACATTATAAAGTCAAGGGATGAATTGGAGGCATGGCTCAGGTGGTAGAGCACCTGGCTAGCAAATGTGAGGCCCTGAGTTCAAACCCTATACTAAAAAAAAAGGGAGAGCTTTTCTTGCTTTTCTTGCAGAGAAGACAAAAACAGTGCGTTGTTGGGAACAGAGGGAAGGGAGCTTTCTGAGGGAGCTCTCCCTGCTGGTGAGGAGGGTGGGTACGTGAGGATGTTAATTTGCTGTATTAAGCAAGTGGGAACCATGGGCTGGTTCTTTACCAGGAGAAAGATACAGTGCAAATGGCAGCTGTGGGGAGCGGCTCTAACTGGCACCCTCAGTGAGGAGGGGCAAGTTATCACAACCCAGGCAAGGGGCATAACTTGGGTAAGGTGGGCAGGATTAGAAAAGGCATCTAACAATCCAAATAACAAATTCATAATGAAAACTTTCTAAACTCTTTTGGCAAATTTAAATTCTAAAACACATCTTGAAACAGTGGGTATTAGTAGGATGGAAGTGAATATTTTAGAATTAACCAAATTGCATTTTCTTATATTCCCCCCCGCTTTGAGCAAGTTGGAAAGGATTCTAATGCAGGTTTTAGAAAAATGAGTCAGCCAACCAGGGGAAGTTTAATTTTGGTGCCTGAGAAAGCATCCTGTTTACCCTCATTCCCATTATGATAGCAGGGGTTTTCTTTCCCCTCTTTTAAATTCGCCTCCAGAGAGGCAAAGGACTTTTAGGGGACCTTCCAATGGTTACTACTGATAGGACAGTTTAAGAAATACAGTCACTGACTGAAATAAGTTCCACCCAAAGCCTGAGCACCCATCCTACCTGAACTTCCAATGCTGAGCCACAAAAGAGACCCCCACAACAAGAAGCTTCTCTCCCAGAGGTCTGGGGGCATTGCTGAGCTGGAGCCTCAGAGCTGCTATGAAGTCAGCCCCAAAGCCAGAGGTACAGCGTAGTTCAAACTCCCATTAAACGCGCACTTGGGGCTCACTAATCATTAACTGGCCCCACAGCCAGTAAAAGAAAAATAAACCCTTCTTGTTTGTTTAACCTCCAGAGATTTCAGCTTCTTCTTCTCAATGAAAATAAACACACTTTCCTGTTTTTCTTTTTTTACCCAGGGGACATTGAAACACACTGTTCTTCCTCTCTGAAATGATTTACCCACCTCTCCCATTTCCCATTATGAAATGTCCTAAGACTGCTACCAAGCAGAGTCTTTCATCTCTAAGTGTTTACAAAACCCTCATTGTCTGTGGTCATGTTTGTCTGTCCAGGAAGAGGGAGCAATTGAAGGGTGGGACCCTCTCTTTTACTTTTGGATCCCTAGGACCCGGCAAAGAGAGGAGCCAATGAGACATGTCAAGTGTACTTGTACTGGACAGAGTGGAGGAAGATGAAATTTGCTTCTGGAGTGGGTTAAAGTAATGCCCCATCTCTAAGAAGAGATAATCAACTTCCCGAGTGTATGAACAAAGACACAGAACTCAGTAGAAAAGGAAAATGAACTAGCTAGACCCTCTTGGTGGAAATGGCAGAGCTGGGCCTGGAAACCACAGTGGGTCTGGCTACCACAGGTCCTCCTCACCAAAATGAGTGGCAGAAACCACAGCGTGTTTCTGTATAGGCGGGGCGGGGCGGGGGATGGCAGGCATTTGCCTGGCCAGCACTCCCTAAAGTATAACATGCTGGTGCAAGGCAGAGATGCTAGCATCAGGCCAAGATCCAACTTTCTAAACAAAGGCTGTGAGGTGAATATTGTCTACGTGAATGTTTTACATAGCTCTCAGGGCAGAGAGAGGTTAAGTAACTTGAAAAAGGCCGTGCAATTCCGGGATTAAAAACAGGATGAGTGAGCCCTAGAATCCATTCTCTGAACTTCTACACTGTGCAGCAACAGCCCCTGAAGAGGTATTGATGCCACGCAATCATGGGAGGACCAGCCCTCATTTCCCCTCATGCACGTGATCCTACTGCTCCAACGCTGTACCAGAAAGAAATGTGGCAACAAGCAGGACACAGCAGAGGTAACTACTGAAAGCTGTCCTGATGTCACAGACCAAGCCAGGCATACTAGTGCAGGTCTTTGAGGAAGAGGATGTCAGAGTGGAACTACGTGTGCAAGAGGTTGTTGGTCCTACACCTGTGAGGAATAAGAGATGCAGAAGGTGGGGACTGCCTTTAGACTGTGATGCAGATGTGACACTTGTGAAGCATAGTGGGAAGGAAAGAGGACAACATTGAGGCAGTCATGGACTGCAGCACAGTGCCTAGAATATTCTGGCCAGGCAAGTAGGGAGTCCTCAGGACAAAGTTGCTTGATAAAGCAGTCCTGTGTCATGTAGAAGTGAGTCTGTATTAGCAGCCATGCTGCTCAATACAAAGTGAGTGTGTCTTTATTTATTTATTGCATGTATTGGGAATTGGGGTCGTGATGCTTCACTCCCTTCAGTGATGGGGGTAGTGATACAGCTACAAAATAATCTTATGAAATAATAATTCCAGGCCTCACAAGCCTGCAACTACAAAATGAGGCCACATTAGTTTTTATTAAGTATATTTTTTCATAATTCTACAATCGTATGTTTATAAAACATTTTAAAGTACAAAAATGTAAGGTAAAAAACTAGTCTCTCCCTCTCCCCCTACTGTCACCATTTTCTTGTACGTTCTTCTAGAGATTTTCTGTCTCACCTCTTTTTGGTGGTGCTGGGGTTTGAATTGGGCCTCACACTTACTAGGTAAGCACTCTACTGCTCAAGCCTCTTCACCAGACATTTTGTGTTGGGTATTTTTAAGATAGGGTCTCATGAACTCTCACTCTCTGCCCTGGCTGGCTTCGAACCATGATCCTCCTAATCTCTGCCTCATGAGTAGCTTGGATTACAGGTGTGAGCCACTGGTGTCCAGTTTGTCTCAACCCTCTTTTGATTTTTATAGTTTTGGCTCACTACACAAACTCTTTTGAACATTACTTTTCACTCTAAACAAAATATTTTGGAGCTCCTTGTTCTTTTTTTAAAGGTTTATAGAATCCCATTATATACAATGTATAGTGAAATTTTAGTGCCTAACCTATCCTAGGATTTTCAGGAAGCCCAATCTTTTACCAACTTCCTCTTCAATCTAGGCCAAGAGCATGATTTTGGAAGCTTCCCTCCTGATGTCCTGTATGTTCTACATGTGAACACATGTACATGTACACACACACACACACACACACACTCACATACACACCTCAGAAGTCATAATACACATAGTGCAGGACAATTGTCTAGTTGCCTTGGGCTGACCCAGTTCTCCCCTTTTCATGTTTGTAGTTCTCAAGAATAATTGCAGAATGTTCTGGAGTGCAGCATCCTGAAATAGCAGGGAATTGGCCAAAACAACCTGGGCCCTGTGGTAGTCCTCCTGCCTCCCCCTTTCCAGAAATAGGATGTCCTTCCATGCTTTAGCCCAGTGACTCATGTGTCTCTAGTGTATAAAACCCAGGGCAGGTCACTTATTGGGGCCTCAGCTGTGTGCAAGTAGGCACCACAGATGCAGATGAAACTCTGTCTACCCCAGGCAATGTTCCTGATCCTTGACGGACTGACTGGCAGTGAATCCTAGGTTTCTGTTGTCCCTAGCACCTGGCTATAGGTAGTTAAGTCCACTTTCTATAACTTGGTAGAAGGAAGTATTCAGTCTCATCAGACTAAGATAGATTGACAACAAGTATGCAGTGAACTTATTTCCACCTAGGGCAAATCCAAATTGTTATGGAGAAAAAGAGTATGACATGCTCTGTATTCCAAGCCACATAACTTTAGCTTTCTTTTTTGTGTGGGTCTGGGCATCAGACCCAAGGCACGGTGTATGCTAGGCAAGTGCTGTACTACTGAGCTACCTCCCCAGCCCCTACCTTCCCTTTAAAAGCAATGATACTCCTGTTCTGCTTTCCCAGAAAGAATAGGTAGACACCTGCTTTACATTTCCCCAGACAAAAGGCCACTTGTAGCTTTACCTGAACAGAGAATTTGTGTGTCCCCCAGGTAACTTCAAGCCTCCAAGTATTGACAGGGACTGAAAATTATTTGTAGCTTTAGAATGAGTAAGAGTTTCATGCTAAAATTCTATGGTTTAGTGTTCATTCCCTGAGATCTCCTACCTTCAAAGTAAAATTATTCATGGATCTTGTAGGCCTATCATTGGGTGTGAAATGCTACTGAAAAAAAAAAAAAAAAAAAACAGTTTCCCAAACTGCATAAGAAGCTGGCTGGCTTGAAATATGTGTCTGGGGGTTTCCCGGAGTCCCTATTTCAGGACAGACTGGCAGAAAGAAAACACCAGATAAATTAAAAAAGGGGAAAAAAAAGACATCAACAATATATAGGTAGCATAGGTTGACATTTTTTCCTTTTGTTTGTTATCACATGCTAGATGCTATTCTACATAAAACATACAATTCTATAAGGTAGGTGCTATTATTAGATCCATTTAATGCATGTACAAACAGAGGCACAGATTAAATAATTTATTCAAGGCTACATGAAGTGACACAGCAAGGATTTTAATCTGAGAAACTGCCACCAGTGACCACATCCTTATCCACTGCACTAAACATGGGTTACTTACTCTCAACCTCACCACAACTCTCAGGTAGGAAGTAGTAATCTCAACTTACCCCAGTATTCAAAAATCTGAGGTTCAGAGGGGTCACCGATAGGTCTGGTAGCAGATTCTCTGTAAAATGTCACAAAGTCTAGTTACATAGTCTATCCCATGTTCCTGTAGTAGGGAAAATGGACAGAGGTGTGAACACTGATTCAGGGGTGGTGAAAGAGGGACTCCAGAAAGCTCACCCAAATGTCACCTCCACTCAGTAGTCTCCAGTGGAAATTATCCAGCTGGAGATTTTGTTTGCCCAAGGTCATGTTTCCCAATTTTATTTGCTCAGGTTTCATCTTCTCTGTTCCTGCCTTATCTATCCACTTGTCACTTATACTAATATGGATTTCAGTTTTGTTGTTTTTGGTTGTACTGGGATTTGAACTCAGGGTCTCATGCTTGCTAGGCAGGCACTCTGCCACTTGAGCCACTCCACCAGCCCTTCAGTTTTTATTTAACTAAGCCTTAATAAATATGTTTCAGAAGGAAGATTTACATGAAGAAGACACAACCAGCCCCTGAAGGGGGATGGTAGGTACACTGTGTCACCTTCACTTGCTGGCATTGGCAATGGAGGAAGATTGTCGATATCCCAGCCAAAATGATAGGGAACTGGTTTGAAGCATTATCTCTATTAATAAACATAAGCTTTAACCACAGCTCTGTTGATGAGGAAGACTTAAGGAGTCTTTCTTCCATCTGTCCCCAATTTCACGTGACCTCTCTTGAGACTCTTGTTGAGTGTCACAGTTAAAAGTCCATGAGCCCCAAGCCCAGAGACCCTGAGTGGGTCAGCCACCCAGTATAGATAATGGCACTGAGGCCTCAAAAGGGAAAGTAGGAGCCTTGCCATGTGTAGCAGGTATAACCAAACACAGCATGGGGAGAAGCCTATATCATGGGTCTAAGCATTGGGTGGGGCATGTTAGTGGCCAAGGAGAAGAATGAAGAGGAAGTCCTCTGAAGGGGAGAGGAAGTCCTCTGAAGGGGAAAGAGGTGCTGAGAGTGAAGACATTCCCATTTCACAACTTTGCCTGACTCAGTTCTACCCTCTTCCTACTCTGTGGCCAGATGTGATCTCAAACCCACAAGCTTTCTGACCTCACCCCTTGGTTGTTGGAAGGCAAAGGACAGGTCATAGACTACTGCCATCACCATCTTACCCCTGGGTTTCATTCTGCCTTTTAGGAATGATTTTCTAATACTTACAGTTAACAAAGAGAGTATGACGGTATACAAAGAGAAAAGCCTTTGGAGACTGTAATATTGTGACCCAATAAATATATATTTGTTTTCTGTCCCCAGTTCCTAACAGAGTTCCTAAAAACCCTTGTAGGTAAAAGCACTCAGATAATCATTTGTCCTAATATTTGATCTTAGACTCCAGTTCCTGACACAGAGTTCCTATGCCCTTTGTGATTTCCTGAGTAGTGGTAGCATCTTTTGTTGTAATGAGGTAATTGCTGGGCTCCGGGATAGCCTCAGAAGGGAGACTCGTTGCCAGGGGAACCAATCATGTGATTAGAGGGTTGAACTTTTACATACCCCCAACTCCCAGGAGGGGAAAGAAGAAGTTGAGTGGACTGCCATTGGTCAATGATGTAATCAATCATGTGCATATAATGAAGCCTCAATAAAACCCCAAAAGGTCTGACTTTGGAGAGCTTCCAAACTGTTGAACATGTGGAGATTGCTAGAGGATGGCCTTCTGGAGAGGATATGAAGGATCCACATCCCTTCCCACGTGCCTCACCCTGTGCATCACCTCCTTCTGCTCTTCATCTGTAACCTTTATAATAAACTGCCAAACATAAGTACATCCCTGAGCTCTGTGAGCTGATTCAGCAAATTAAGTGAACCTGAGAAGGGCATTGTGGGAACTCTGATTTAGTCAGTTGGTCAGAAGCACAGGTCATGATCTGAATTTGTGATTGGCATCTGAAGTACGGCAGTCTTGTGAGACTGAGCCCTCAACTTGTGGATCAGATGCTAACTCTAGGTAGACAGCATCAGAATGGAGTTAGATGTCAATCAGCTGGTGTCCCTGGAGACTTGGTTGGTGGGGACGCCCCCCCGCCCCACCCCATCTTCCATTTGCTGTCAGAAGTATTAAGTGGTGTAGGAAAGTAGAAAAAAGTGCTTTGGTTTGATTTTCTCCTGTCTCTTGTAGAGATGAACCTGGGTTTAGAGCCCAGCTGCATCTCATCCTAGCTATATGACTTTAGATAGATGGTAACTTCTGGGAGACCAATTTATTCATTTGTTAGTAGGTTGTTGTGAACAGCCTGTCACACAGAAATATTGTCTTCCTCCTATCTTCTTTTTCCATACCCAGATGGAAATAGCCTCCTTAGATGTCATTCCTCCCAAGTTCCAAACCCAAAATATGAAGAAAAATGGTAAGGCTGTCTCCCCAGTCCCTATCTGGACTCCTTTACCAGGCCCCAAGCAGCCATTCCTCGAGTTGGTCTAGTAGGCTGCTTGGATAGTGAAATCATCAGAGCCTCCATTCCTGTTTAAAAAAAAAAAAAGTTTACTTACTCCAGAGAGGCAAAGAATGAAGAACAAATGGAAAGTATGGTTGACGAAGATCAAAGGGTGAATGAGGCCAATGCTAATTTTGCAGACCCTAAAAGAAATTATTTCCAAGACTTCTAGACAACATCTAGTAATCTTAGATAACAAAGAAAGAAAATTAACCACCATAACATAGCAGGTCAAAAAATACCATCAATCCCTGTACTGTTACATAAAGACCTATTCTGTTTTTTCAGTGCGCTTACATGTTAGCTTAATAAACGGACCAATTTATACTGTGTGTGTCACACTATGTTTATTGATATGCTCTAATATTTTGCAAAGAATTAAGTTTATCTCTTTCTCTGTTTCCCATCCATTCTCTTATCCTCCCTCACTCTCCCTCTCCTTTCTCTCCCTCTCCCTCTCTCTCTCTCTCATTAGGAAAAAGGGCACAGACCCTGAGCCCGGGTCCAGGTGAACAGGCAGGGAGAATACAACTGTCCTCTTCCAGTTGCTTCTATTTTCCAAAGAATTAGGAACAAAGGCCACCAGTTCAGTGTGAAGTTTGGGGGAGGTTCTGAGAGTTGAGAAAAGGTGTCTGAAAGCCTAAATCTTTTGAAGTGTGCCTGTAATGAAAACTGAGAATCAGCAAACAGAATAGGATCTCTGAAGAGTCTTTTCCTGTTATCTCCAAATGTAGCTAAAGCCGTATACCAGAAAACAAAGATGCTAACACCATCCCCCCAGCTCCCTGTGTCTCCTCCACCACACTTTAAAGAGACTGAAGGACTTGGACAGACAGATCCCTAGAGGATGGACTCAGAGACAGCCAGCCTGCTGTTATCAGACCTCCTTCCCTGCCCCAGCTGAACACCCAGGACCTGAAGGATAAATCACAGGGAGCCATAGTTCTGTGGCTATACTGAAAGGAGTGTCCAGCCTCATCCCCAGCAACAAGCCAAGTGAAGGAGGCCTCCTGGGTGACTGAGGTGACCACACAGAGGGGACTGTGGCATCTTATTTCTCACCCTACCAGGTGGAAAAGGAGAGAGAAGAGCATCAAGAGGCAAAGAAAGGGGTTGATGTACTCATTGGAACCTGACTAGAAGTTCACTATCATGGATTTGTAATGTGTAAAGATAACTCTGAAGAGTCATGAGGAAGGCACAGATAGGAGACTAGTTATTTACATTTGTTTAATACACATTAGGTGTCCACTATGTGCTAGGTTCTGTTAGAGGAGAATTCAGATAGGCAAATAGAACATAAGAAAACAGGTAAGGTGCTAAAGGCCATGATGCAGAAAGTACTGAGAGCAGCTAGCAAAAACATCTGCTTAGGCTTGTGTAATGTGAACTGCAGAAATCCAGCTGCAACAAGGAAAAAAGATGATATAGTCAAAGGATATCAGGAGGTAAAACAGCCCAGCAGATGCTGTTAGGATCCCCTTGTGCCCCTTACAGATCTCATGCACCTTACAGCTTGCCACTGCAAGCATCTTTGAGTCTTTACCTGAAGACGTTCATGTATGGCTTGCTCAAAAGGCAAGCTTAGAAGTACCAGAGAGTGAGCAATCCCAGGAGTGGTCCTCAACCAATCAAGTGGTCGTTAGTAATAACATACTTTAGGTGGGACAACTATGGCTTAGGCAGTGGATCCAGATGGACTGTGCTCCAGCCACCCACAGTGGAAACCTAGTCATTCACACACCCTCCTCCCCGCCATCTCACTTCCCCATTCTCCTACTGGTGCTCCTGGAATCGCCTTCCAAATAAACCCTTTGTACTCAGATCTTTGCTTCAGAGTCCACTTGGGGGGCGGCGGGGGGCGCATATAGGGGACCCAACAGAACTAAAACAGGAAAAAAAAAAAAACCTTTTAGAACAATCATATGATAAAGTGAAGACAAAAACAGAAGGCCAGGAGATTTCCAGCGTGTGAAACACTGCCCCCATCAATAATAATAAAGGACCTTCCAGCCAGGTGCCGGTGGTTCATGCCTGTAATCCTAGCTACTCAGGAGGCAGAGATCAGGAGGAGTGTGATTTGAAGGCAGCCCTGGGCAAATAGTTCTTTAGACCCTACCTTGAAAAACCCATCACAAAAAAGGGCTGGTGGAGTGGCTCAAGGTGTAAGAGCACCTGCCTAGCAAGTGTGAGGCCTTGAATTCAAACCCCAGTGCAAGGGAAAAAAATAATTATAAAGGATTCTCCTTTATAAGAGGGATAAATTCAGGTAGAACAAGATGAGTCTGGAAAGACTGAGCTCAAGGTACCCAAGGGACTTGTATCTCAAAACTCCCTGAGAACAAGGTTAAGATTGTTGACTTTGGAAAAACTGAAAAGACTAAGCAGAAAAGGAACTCTGAGGGAAGAAGAAACCACTAGTAGTGAACCTCACTTCTGCCTAAAGGCTGGTTACAGTATCTTCCTCCGATCCAAGAGAATACAAAGCCCTAGCTGTCTCTTCCAGCCGGTGTCTGTACTCTAGGTTCTCATAGTTGGAGGAGCTTACTCCTTTAAAACCATGCATAACTCCCCACCAGCAGCCAGCGATGGCTGCTGTGGAGTCACTGTCTCCGCCATGGAAAAAGGCTCGGTGGGCGAGCTCCTTCCACGAGTCCCCTGCGGCAAGGATGGCATCATAGGCGATCATGGGGGCATCGTGCCCACTGCTGCCACCCCAGCCAGAGTAGCTCAGGGCATTGTAGAACTGATCCCTCTGCTTTACACTGAAGGGCTGTGGGAAGGTGGGGGCTGACTTGCCATCCAAAATCCCTCGAAGTTTCAGGTACTTTTCCCATTGATTTTGGAAGTAGGACCTGTAGGAAAGAAAAAATTCCATAGTCAGTTGAAAAACCAAAGTCAAAAGCTATAATGAAAAGCACCAGGTGGATATGAGAACAGATAAGTACAAAATGACTTCAACTACTTGTACCTGTATGAACTACCTAAGAAAATCAAAGTTAGCTCTAAGAGCCATTCATTTCACAAATTTTTTTTGCCAATCATCTGCATAAATAAGACACTGATCCAGTTGCTAAATAAGGAATATTCTTATCAAGTTAAAGGGTAGGAAATAAATGTTTGCCTTTAGGGGTTGAAAGTAATGTCAAGTATCCAGGGGAACCTTTGGGACATCACAGCCATGGGTGACTTCAGCAGAAAGCCTCAGGACCTTTTCATTCTAAGAAAGAGAATGTGAAGTGAACCCACAAAAAAGGGGAACATGTGGCCTTACCATTTGTTTATTAGCTAGTGGAAAAACTTATCTCTTGGGCATTCTAAATAAGGATTTCAAAATATTATTCATGTCAAGATAATACTGGAAAAAACAAGTTCCAGGGCAGTAGCAAATAACTAAGAAAGTAAATCTCAGCATAGGATGGCCACAAAAATTATAGAAAGTCAGAACACAGAGCAGGGAGATGCTGCAGCTACACTACTCAGTGAGGGTCCTCCTGGCTACTTAGGGCAACCATGGCTAGGAGAGAGCTTAAATCCTTATCGGGTGGGCCAGGAGGGGACTGGGTGGTGAGAACTGTGATGGCTGCTGTAATATCTGAATCCCAGGCACACATGCTTGGTGTACATGCACACGCAGAGTCACCCATATCCCAGCAGGGGCATGTACTTGCGGACTCACCAGTTTTGAAGATTCTCCTCCACAAAGTAGCCTGACTGGACAATGTACTTCTTAGCTTCTGGAAGCACCTCCATTAGGCCTTTTCCCCATTGATGGGGCGGTTTTCCATTCACAGCATAGGCTGTAAAAAGAGCCGACGCCAGGGCTCCCAGGTAGCCTGTTGGGTGGTGGTGGGTCATCCGGCCACTCTCAATGCTCAACTGGATCAGTACGCTCAGCTGGCTGTCGTGAGGGAACCTGAGACCAATGCACATGGCCCGCATGGCAGCCCCACAGCCACCCTCATGGTTGTTGAAGGGAATTCTCCAACCATTAGGTTTGTTGGGCTCCAACTGCATGGCATTCTGCACAGAGGCACCACCTGGGGATAAGTCAGATAGGGCATGGGGTCAGTGTCACCAAAGCAAAGGCACCAGCAGGAAGGAAGAACTAAACTGTCTCCAAGTTTCTCTGACAGAAAGGGAAAGTCAAGAAGTCTGGCGTGGTAGCATACACCTATAATCCCAGCTTCATGGGAAGAGATTCAAGGATTGTGCTTCAAGGCCAGATTAGACCAGTCAATAAAATTAGCCAGACCCCATCTCAAAAAAAAAAAAAAAAAAGCAGCGGCCAGGTGCTGAGGCTCATGCCTATAATACCAGCTACTCAGGAGGCAGAGACTGGAAGGATCAAAGTTCAAGGCCAACCCAGGCAAAAAATTAGTGAGACCAATAGCTGGGTGTAGTGATGCATATCTGCCATGTGAGCTGTGTGGTAAGCACAAATAGGAGGACTGCAGTCCAGACTGTTCCAAGCAAAAACACAAGACCCTACCCCCAAAAAATAGCCAAAGAAAAAAGGGCATGGCTCAAGTGGTAGACCACCTGCCTAGCAAGCTTTCAGCCCTGAGTACCAACAAAAAACAAACAAACAAACAAGGTGGGGGGAGGTGCACACCTATAATCCAAATTACACGAGAAGGATCGAGGTCAGAAGCAGATTGAAGTCAGAAGCTAGCCCAGGCAAAAGTATAAAACCTAGACAGCACTGCCCAGGTGGTAGGTAGAGCGCTTTCTCAGGAAGTACAAGGCTCTAAAAAATAACCTGCCCAGAAAAATAATAATAATCTGACAACTGGAGTTCCTGAATATCAGAAAGAGACCATAAATTCTAGAGTGAAGCACTGAGTTCAAATGAGAAGCAGTGGAGTTGGCAGTCCCCTACCTGACAGTGGCATGAGCAGGCTTGTCCCACTTGCCTACTGTCCTGGCAAGTTGTGAACATACATGGATCCAAGCAAAGGCAACAGCACACTATGTAATGAAGTATCATTGTTCTCTTGTTGGGCGGTTTACTCATACAATGTTCATAGATGACACAGCTGAAAAAAGAAACACTGTACATGACAAATGGAGATCTGGGATGCTAAAAGTGAAGAGAGAGTGGCTGCTAAGGCTAATCCCTGGGGTCGGGAGAGGCCCCTGGGTAAGGTGGTGGGGAGCTTTTCATCAGGAGGTATTTGAGGCTAAACTGTGTTCATATGTCGAAGCCCTAAAACCCAGCATTCAGTTTGGAGCTAGGACCTCTGAAGGGCTGATTAAGCTCAAAAAAGGCCAGAAGGGTGAAGTATGTTCCAATCTGTCAAACTGTTGCAGCCTCTTCTTATGAGGGACATGAGCACACAGACACAGCAGGGATACATGTGCAGAGAAGAAAGACCACATGAGGACCCAACAAGATGGTTGCCAAGAAGGTAGAAGAGGCCAAATCTGCCAACATGCTGACTTAGACTTCTAGCAACCAGAACTACAAGACAATACATGTCTGTTGTTTAAGTCGCCCAGTCTATGGCATGTTGTTATGGTACCCCTAACAGACTAATACAGGAGGGAGAGGTCAGTTGGATGGGGGGGAAAATGTCAAAAATCACCTGGTTGTCTGAGTGGCCAAGACAAGTCCCTAAAGTGGGCAAGAACCACTTGTTAGCAGAACTGGAGCCTGAAGAGGAACACTTTCCATTTCTCTTTCCTTTCTTTTATTTATTTATTTATGTGTTTGAGACAGGGTCTTGCTATGTAGTCCAGACTGGCCTAGAACTTGCAATCCTGCCACAACCTCCCAAGTGTTACACACACACACACACACACACACAGAGTTTTTCTTTGCATTTGTTCATTACAAAAACTTGGAAAATACAAAGAAGCATATGGAAAATAAACTGTAAATATTCCCATCACTTAAATAAAATCACTATCTTTGTGTATGTGCTTCCAGTCCTCTCCCAGCAGAGTTGCACGTGTATTTTTAATGACAATAGACCCGTAACATATACACTGTTGTGAAGCCTACTTTTTCTGTTTTGGGAGCAGTACTGGGGTTTGAACTCAGGGTTTTATGTTTCCTAAGCAGGTACTGTGTACTTCAGCCACGACCCCAGCCCTGAAGCCTATTTTTCACTTTATGTATAATACTTTCTGTATCAGTAACTACTCATCTGCATAATTTTACATAGTTGCAAATGTGTTGCCATAATTAAGTAAATTACAGGATATTTAGATTGTTCCTATTTATTACAACTGCAGACACTACTGTTTCCTTGATAGTTCAGTCTCCATCAACAACCCTCCCTCACCTGGGCTTTGAGCAGGTCCTTCAGCTTGCTAGGCAGGTGCTCTAACCCTTGAGTCTCCCCCTCAGCTTCCATCACATTGCTACCCATTTCCTCGGGCCTGTTTTATTCTTCTCCTGTCCTACTGGCTGCACTCACCAGGGGCCCGGCCATCCATGTCTTCCATGCAGTCCTGGTAATGCTTGGCTAGGAGAGAGTACAGGCGAGCCAAGTTTGGGGATTTTCCAGCTTCCAGGAGGGCATCTGCTGTGGCCAGGTGCATCACGGTGTCATCGCTGACCCTCCACCGGCCCACGTCTATGGCATCCAAGCCGCCCAGCTTGGCCAACTGCTGGTGAATCTTCTCCCCGTCCCGAAGGAACTCCCACTTCCCATTGAAGTACCCCAAGGCATCTCCAGCAGCACTCAGCACCATGGCAGCTACATACCTCTTGATCAGTCCCTCACACATGCTGCGCTTCCCAGGGGCTGTGTGGGGGGCAATTACAATAGCTGAAGGAAGATGGAAAAGAAGACTCATAAAAAACAGAGCCCTCTGACATTTTTTGAGGCGTTATAGTAAGTGCATCTCATTTAATCCTTGTAACTGTATGAGGCATGTATTACTAAGCACATCTTACATAAGAATAAACTGAAGATGGTGAGATAATGCAGTTTCAGAAACACTAAGAGACTTGTCTCAGGTCACAGAGCTACCAAGTGGCAGGGCTCTGGGATTCTGACATAAGTTTATCTAACTCCAGAGCCCATAATTATGAGTGTATCTTTGCCTCTGGTGAGTGGCAAGCCCACTCAATTCTACAAGTCAGTCCAAGCCCATCATTTTTCTAGTTGAGATTTGGCCTTGGAAGCACATCTCTCCTTTACATAAATACTAACATTTTCTATTGGCATCAGAATGCACGGTGTGCAAAGCACCTGAACATTCATGGTCTCACGGGGAGGGAGGGATGCAGCACGCAGGTCACAGGTAAGGAAACTAAGGCGTGGAGAAGCTAAGTTCACACAATCAGAGGTTGAATATCCTGGGACCTCAGCCTTCTTCCACTCCGCCTCAGCCTGGAAGCTACCTACCTTGGACATCTGTAAAATTAATTGACAAAAATAGCAACAAATTCCTCACGTGTCCTGAGAAGTAAATGAACTCATTTTCATAGAGCACTGAGAACAGTGTTTTTGTAATTATTTTTCTTATTTATACACAACCAGGGAAGAAAAGTCTTCCTGTTATTGAACTAGAATACCTTCCCCTATAAGCCCTATAAGCATCCCTTCTTCAACAGCAATATTTAAATCTTGATTTCCTTCTAAATGACAGAGTCCTGCAGTAGTGGATCTCAGCTAATATGCCCACCAGGAAGTAAATTCCTGGTAAAGTGCTGGCTTCCGCGTAGGTGAGTCTCCTAAGAGCCCTCCTCCAGCCAGTTCCCCAGTGTGCCTTATTCCCTGTGGCAGTCAGGTTCAAAGCCCTCCACCATCTGCCCTACCGCGGGTGCACAATCAGGCAACCACTTTTAAGAACAAGAGCTAGTGCTCACCCTCCTCTCAGGTCTAGCCTTTCCCCTCACCCAATTGCCCTTCTTCCCCTCCACTTAGGTAAGCCCTGTTTTCTTCGGTTTAGCTCAGTTCCCAGGATCTCCGAAGTCTTTGTCCAGTTGCAGTGCTCTGGGCCATGGACGCCGGGTGGGCAAGCACCTGAAAGCAGCAGCAACCACGAAGATGGACTTAAAGTTCCAATACTGTTACTGACTGGACTGAACACCTGGGCTCACAATGGATGTAAAGAGTTGTTTTCATATTTGTTTGTTATTTATAAGCAAAGCTTAGGACCTCGTGTGCTGGCTGGACTATTAGACCTGACTACCAAGAACTGCAAACAAGCCATCTACTGATGCTCAAACTTCTCACCTGTGAACTGGGCAATGGTGGAGGAGGGGAGTGGGGATGCTCTCTGAAAGACCTGTCTTGCGCTGAGATTTTCAAAGCCCCAGCTTAGCTGGCCTCTGAGAATTTTTTTTTTTTTTTAAGGGACAGAACTGGGGTTTTAACTCAAGGTCTCACACTTGCTAGGCAGGCGCTCTATCACATGTGCCACTCCAACAGACCTTTTTTCCTGCTGGGTATTTTTCAAGATAAGGTCTCAAGAACTATTTGCAGGGCTGTGATCCTCTTGCTGGCAGCCTCCCAAGTAGCTAGGATTACAGGTGTGAGCCATCGGAGCCAGGCTGAGAACTAACTTGTACCACCTCCCAGCCAATGTCCTAGGCTTCCGATCTGCAAGTTCCACTCCAGAGGATGTTTTTGTGCGTTGTAAGCGGATGGAGAAAGAAGACCGCATGGTTTTCTGTGAAATTCCTCTTCAGTTTCGCTCCTGCACACATACGTAGCCTCAGCTTTCTTCAAGCTTCTCTAAACTTTCTTTTTTTTTTATTGTTTTATTATTCATATGTGCATACAATGCTTGGTTCATTTCTCCCCCCTGCCCCCACCCCCTCCCTCACCACCCACTCCGCCCCCTCCCTCTCCCCCCCACCCCCTCAATACCCAGCAGAAACTCTTTTGCCCTTATCTCTAATTTTGTTGAAGAGAGAGTATAAGCTTCTCTAAACTTTCACCGGCGCATTCTAGCAACCCAAGTATACACTGAAAAGCAAAGGCCGCTTCCCAGCCGGCCTCTGCCTGTTTTTTGGGAGGGGGAAGGAGACGGGGGTGGGGGGGGAGAATAGGGGAGTGGGGACTCAGTTTGCCAAGCTGCCACTGCCCGCTCAGGAGAACCGAGTGGCCGCTCGGGCGGGGCGGGGACGGTACCTGGTCGCGGCGAAGCGGGGCGCAGAGAGGACGCTGGGCAGCGGCCGAGCAGAGTCGCGGAGCGAGCGCGCGCTCGGCCCCCTGCTGTGCGCGGCCACGCGCCTCCTCCCCGCGCCGCCGCGCCCGCTGCGCCCGAGCCGGGGCGGACGGGACCGCGCTCGCCCGCCACCCGCCTCTGCCGGCCTCTGTAGCCGGATGTGGCCGCTCAGGTCCGGTGTCGTCGGCGGCTCATTTGTGGCCCCGGGCTGACGCCTCGGCCTTTCCTCAGGCCCGGCTGTCCCTGGCCACCGCGACCCAGCGTGCGCCCGGAACTGGGAAAGGGCCTCGAGGGGGACCTGGCCAGGGCTCTGCCCACATCCCTTCCCCAAAGTGGGGTAACGTGGGTAACGGTAGTACCCGGCTCTCAGATGCTCGCTTTTAATCTCGTGGTTTACTCGGCAAAATTTGGAAATAAATTTTGGGGAAGTGTTAATTTCCTTCCCCTAATGATGCCTTCACTGTGCAACTGTTTAATGCCGTAAGGTCGACATGGAGATGCTTACATGGAAAGAGCATGGAGACATTTAAACGTAAATAAATAAATCATCATATTTTGAATGATGACTACATATGGTCTTATTTATGTTTATGTAAGAGTGCTGTGTGTGTCTATAAATTGGATAGAAGGATAAACATCAAATTATTAGTGATTACGGTTCTCAGGAAGGTAATAGGACAGGAGTAGATAGAGATAAAGAGAAATTTTAAATCATTTATAATGAGGACTTTAATAAATTATGTGTATAAAGAAATTTTAGAAAACAAACTAGTCTACCTCTCAGATTGTATTTACTTAGTCTTTATCTTACATACTTTTTTTAATGGGCTCACTTTGCAAATACAATAATAATTCTTTTAAAAAATCTATTTAACTTTACCAGTTACAATAATGGCTGCAAATGTTCAGATAAGGTAATGCTTCTAGAATAAACTCTTCCAGTTTGCTACAATAAAAGCATGAGTTCTGGTGCTCCATTGCTGTCTTACCACACCATGGCCAAAACCGTTTCAAGAGAAGGAAAATAAAAGCACAGAGATTAGATAAACCTTTGGCAGTTTATAGTCTCAAGTGTGTAATATCATGCCTAGTTAAATAATGAGAGGTAAAAATAAATTGAAAAAAGAGAGAGGGCTAACAGGAAATGCCTAACAGCCAGGGCCCCCTTGACTCTCCAGCAGTGCTTAGCTACAAAGTGCCATTGCTAGCACCTCTATACGAATTTCTTAAAATGAGTCAAGATGGAGAAAGGAAGAAAACAGAGGAAAACTAGTACAGGAGAAATAGGAATTCAAAAGCAACTCCTCATGGGTTGGTGGAGTGACTCAGTGGTAGAGCACCTGCCTAGCGAGCATGAAACCCTGAGTTCAAACCTTTTACTGCCAAAAAAAAGCAGGTGCTCTCATATCCTGTGTGGTCAATTCACCAAGACTCAGAAAGCAACAGATATGGGTGGCTAATTACACGTGACAACTTGACTAGTCTTCAGCACTCAGATATTTCTGTGAAGGCATTTTTAAAATGAGATTAATATTTAAGTCAGGGACCTGTGAAGGAAACAGATTACCCTCCATAATAGGGGGAGGAGGGAAGAGGTGCAGTCAACCAGTTAAAGATATTAACAAAAAAGAAAAGACTTGCCTGCCCCAGGGAACAGGGAATTCTGCCAGCAGACTGGCTTAGGACCCAAAGTGAAATAATCAGCCCTTTTCCTGGGTTTCCAGCCTGTTGGCCTACCCTACAGATTTTGAACCTGCCAAACTTCTACAATGTGTAGGCCAATTCCAATTCCTTAAAGTAAATATCTGCACTCTCTCTCTCTCTCTCTCTCTCTCTCTCATCCGTTTATGGGCCTTAAGTAGTTTGCTACCATACTATACACAATGGTACAATCAATGAACATTCTATAAATACAGAACACTTGGTTCTGTTCCTCTTATGAGGGGAGCAAATGGCAAAAATTACTTTGGGAATGTGAGGAGAGCAAATGGCAGAAGTGACTTTATCTTAAATAAGGGAGACAGGGAGGCCAAAATGTAGCTATAAAGTGTAAATGCCAGAGTTAATTGAAAAAGAAATACACTTTGGCAGGCTGGGAGCAGGTGGCTTCAAGGAAGAGAAGATGGGGTTGGGCTTTAAAAGTGGAATATTTGTTAAAGATTTGGGTTTGTTTGGCCCCTGGAATGATCTCCTGGGTTTGGGGTCGTTGTCTTGTTATATAAGAGAGAGATTATCTATGTAAACTATTTACTATTGCCTATGTAAACTATGTCCTGCTCTAATTGATAGTTTCTGTAAATTACTCTTAAGTAAAAAGTGGATTAAATTTTAAGTAAGTAATTAACCTCAAGGCCCAAGACAGGGAGGAAAGAAAGAGCGCACCAAGACCCTGTAAGAAAAAAATGGGTGCCCACCTATCAGAGAACCACATCCAGGGACTTGCAAGGTCTGCCCCAAAAGCACACCAAAAAACTAGATAAAAGCCTTCATGCACACAGCTGCCATGGCTTACCTTTTTCACTAAGTCCCACCCGTCAGGGTGCTTTGCCATCCTTTCAATAAACTTTGTGCTTGCTTTACTCTGAACTCCTGTTCCAGCGTCTTCAGTCAACTTCACCAGGACATGAACTTAGGATCAACAATCCAGTTTCACCCTAACTAATACAACATCGAAATATGCCAAACACCTTGCTAGGTGCTTTTACAACTGGAGAGGTCAGGCAATAACTGGACTAACAGGCGGCTTTGTAGGATATAATGACATTAGGTTGTAAAGAACATGATAAAGAATATTTAAGGTACAGACTGGTGAACATGAAAGAGACATTTATGGCTCAATCAGGGTATTCAGAGAAAGCATGCAGAGAAAATTACTCATGGGCTGAGTTTTGAAGAAAATAAGGAAGGCAAAATAAACTTGCTAGAAGGTAGAAATAACACAAATCATTAAGACACAGGAGAAATGATTTTAAAAGAAAAAGGAAAAGGGAAACACAAAGCCATATTTTTAAGCATGGTGGTGCACACTTGTAATTCTAGCACTCAGGCTATGGAGGCAGGAGGATTGTGAGTTTGAGGCCAGCCTGGGCTATGTAATGACATCCTGTTTTAAACCAGAAAAAAAAGACAGGTGTAGCTTAGTGTATCCTTGCTGGGTCACACTGTTGAGGGTCCAGTTGAGCCTTGTCTTTGAGTCATGAGAGTAGATCATTAGTTTTCTCATTTTCTCTCATATAAATCAGCCCAAATACACCATCTGTAAGACTGGAGATTTTAAACAAGAGGAAGAAAAGGACTAGAATATCAGCTCACCAAGGAAAACAGGCTCACCGGACAGGAGCCCTAATCTGACTAAAAAATTATGGAATATGTATGTACATGGGAGCAAAGCTTAAGTCATCAAATGTTAGTGGCAGAGGGGAATCTACACAACCCGTTACTTTCTCATGAGGAAACTGAGGGTGATGAAGAGGGTTCCTGGAAGTGTGTATAACTCAGTAACACAGAGAGAAGCAGGCCTAGAACCCATGATCCCTGCACTGCCAGACAGGACTTCTTCCCCACACTTCCATGTAGACAAATGGTTTGTAGACTAAACAATGATTTCATTAAAGTAGTCTCTGCATCCCCCAAAAAGGCTTAAGCCACCTCTTGATAACAGTGTAAAAACAGTACTTAGTCTGGTGCTGGTGTAATCCTAGCTACTCAGGAGGCAGAGATCTAAAGGATCATGATTTGAAACCAACTCTGGGCAAATGATTCAGGAGACCCTATCTTGAAAAAAACCCATCACAGAAAAGGGCTGGTGGAGTGTCTCAAGTGATAAGCACCTGCCTAGCAAGCATGAGACCTTGAGTGCTATACACTTCAATTTTTTTTTTTTTTTTTTTTTACTTTCGGTGGTACTGGTGTTTGAATTCAGGACTTTGCACTTGTGAGACAGGCGCTATACCACTTGAGCCACACACCCAGCCCTTTTTGCTCCGGTGATTTTGAAGATTGAGTCTTACTTTTTTGCCTAGGCAGGCCTGGACAGAGATCCTCCTATCTTATGCTTCCCTCATAGCTGAGACGACAGGCATGCTCCACACCACCCAACTTTTCTTCCCTTGTTGAGATAGGGTCTCACAAACCTTTTTGCCTGGGCTGGCCTAGAACTGCGATCCTCCCAATTTCAGCCTCCCATGTAGCTTGGGACGACCTGTACATGTCACTACACCCAGCTATTTGTTGAGATGGGGTTTCAAGAACTTTTTGTCTTGAACTGAGATCATCCCAATCTCAGCTTCCAAGTAGCTAGGATTGTGGGCATGAGTTGGCACCCAACTATGAGGAAGTACAGTCAAATACAGCAGGAGGTAGGAATGGGAGACACCCTATCAAGAGATGCAAAAGAGGCAAGTGGGTACAAACTGGAGTTTAAAAAGCTAGACATGGCTTCTGCCCTTCTAAGCAGAACAGAAAGAGACCTGGGGAAGTCCATGTTGCTCCCCCCAGATCTCCCCCAGCACAGTAGCTTGCTTTCCTAGGCCAGGGCTTCCCAATCTTTGGTCTGGAGATCCACCAGTAGATTTTGAAATCTTTGGTAACTTCCTACCAGATGGCCTCTGATGCTCCCTTTCTCC